ATACACAATGAAATATGGTGTAGCTTCATGATGAAAATTTTCATTGCAACTCGGCTAGAACCAGAGAACACCAAGTAAAACAAAGTGAGCCAGAGGGAGACAAATAACAAACCATCTCTCTCTTTTCTGGTCTATAGAGAAACAAAACAAAACAAAAGACAGTACCGAATGATGACAAATCCTTGGTCTTTGATTACAAAATAGATTTCCAGGCAGTGGAGGGAGAAGGAACAGTCAGATTAGACGTGACAGAGAGCAGTGGTGGAGGATCTTGGGCTCTTTGGGAGTGGTGAAGATGTAATAATTTTCTATGCAAGACCCATAAATGTTAACACTTGTAACTGTGAGATTTAATCTACAATGAAAATTTAAAAGTCAGGGCTGGAAAGACAGTTCAAGAGTTACGTACTTGCTTTCCACATGCTTTGACCCCTATGTGGTACCCCAAGCACTGCCAGGAGTGACCTCTGAGCAGAGCCAGGAAGTTCTGACACTGCTGGGTGTAATCTAAAATATTCCTCATCAGCACTTTAAAAATAACCAGAAATAAACATTCCAAAAATTTCTTTGTAAAGATTAAGAATTTATTTCTACTCATAAGATTAGCTTCATGGATCTTGAAAATTAAGCATTAATACTTAGGAATTTAAGTAGAGATTTAAAATCCGGTGGTGCCCAGGGCTTACCCCTGGGTCAGTGCCATAGGATCACTCCTGGCAGTGCTGGGGGTTGAACCTGGGTCAGCGCTTGAAAAGTGGGACCCTACCATTCTGTCTGTCTGGCCCCTTCCATCTAAAACTCTGACTCATATCCCTGGCCCTCTTCAAGACCAAGTATGACTCAAATGGTAGAGTTATGTGTGAGGTCTGGCGTGCATGGCAGGGCTCAGCACCTCTGGGCACCCTCAGCACCAGCAAATGTGACTCCTATTGAAAAAGACAATGAAACCTTAGTTATATCACACCTTTTTTTGGGGAGGGGAATCACTACAAGGTATTTACATATTTGTCACAGTGAAAATGCATCAAAACAGCTTTTTATTTGCCACGTTTCTGTTTCTTGAAGACTAAACCAGGACCAAAGGCAGGGACCATGAGGGAACACTTTCTTAAAAGATCAATTTGTGAATCTGTGATTTCTTCTCAGGGGCCCTGGGGAAAGCACCTAGTAAAGTCACCGATGCCCTTCCAGAACCTGAACCTCTAGGGGCTATGGCTGCCTCAGAAGATGAGGAGGAGGAGGAAGAGGCCCTGGAAGCCATGCAGTCCCGGCTGGCCACACTACGTAGCTAGGGCTGAGGTGGGTCCCAGGCCCGTCTCACGGCCCCTCCCCAGCCTGTGCCCTCCTGCAAGCCGCTCTCTTCTGTGTCTCTTGCACTACATCTGATTGAAGCAGTGCCTTCTGGAGAAGGTTCTCTGCTCATGTGTCTTCACTCTCTGGAGAGGTTTCGAGATGTGGAGTAATAAATAAATGCAGCATTTCTAAGAGTTGAAACATTATCTCTTGGGGGCAAGTGGGAGATGGCGGCCAAAGCATCTGTCTTACACTTTTGCACATAGTTGGTTGCCTGAATGTTGAGGACAGTACATTTTTTTTCTGTCTGTAAAACACTATATAAAGGATTTTAATAAATTTCTGCTTTAACACTTGGTTTCATTGTAGATTGTCATGTACAGTGAACATTCAAGGTGTAGCTGTTCCTAGATACTTTATATTTGGCCTTGGAAAAAAAAGAGGTGCTTATAGCCAGGCATATGGGACATGGATAAATATTAAGATGTATAATTACCAAATCCTTGGTAAGAGTATGTCTGCTTAATAAGAGGCTGTCACGCCGCTTCCAAATAGCACTTTACCTTTTTGCATTTTCACCACCAGTACACGAGAGTTCTTATTCGCATCCTCACCAGCGGTGGTCTTATCAGTATTCAGGTTTTTGACCATTCTAATAAGTACATAGAGACTGTTTCAAATTTGGGGGGGGGGGGGGGGCGAGGGAGGGGGTTGGTTAGGGAAGGGCCTCCCTAGCAGTGTTGGGTGCCGAGAGCAATTTCCTGTGAGGTAGGTGCTAAGGATTAGCAGTGCTTGGGGCCACCATGGCTTTACCCAGTGGTGCTTGGATGTGCCTTGTGGTGACAGGGATTGTACTTGAGGTCTCATGCATGCTAGGCATGTGCTTCAGCTATCTCCCCAGCCCTTCTAATTGTTTTAATCTGTAATGTCTACTATGCATAGGATATCTTTTTGTATGTTTGGCCATTTAAATTTTTTCCTTGATCAGTCTATCAGTCTTTGGTTCAGTTTTTATTTGGCTTTTGGCTCATACCCGGCAGTGCTCAGGGGTTACTCCGTGGCTCTGCACTTAAGAATTACTGCTGGTGGTACTTGGGGGAACCTTATGGGTTGCTAGGGATTGAGCCTGGGTTGGCCACATGAACGGCAAGCAAGCACCCTACTCACTGAACAACTTCTCTCCAGCCCCAAGTTACTTATTCTAAACGGTTAGGGGTCTATGTTGCCTAAAGTCCTATATCAGATGTCTTGTGCAAGTATTCTCCCAGTCTGTGGCTTGCCTTCTAATTTTTTTTTTTTGCAGAGTAGTAGTTTTCAATTTGAATGATGTCTATGCTTACCAATAATTTCTTCCATGATCCTGCTTTTGGTGTTGACTCTAAAAAATGTTACACCATAACCCTAGGTCACCTACATTTTGCTATGTTCTCTTTGGGGAGTTTTAAGTTTTATGCATTTTCCAGTTAATTCCTATAAAAGGAAGGTCTGCATCTGGAATTTTTAAAAAAATATGAATGTCTAGTCCCTCCAGAGCCATTTGCTGTAAGTAAACTTTGTTCAGTTGTATTGCCCTGCTTTTTTGTCAAGGATCAGTTGATTGTACTGATTTATTTTTGGGCTCTATTCTGTTCCATTAATACAGTGTTTATTCTTTCACCAATTCCAGTCTTGAATTATTGTAGCTTTACAGTAATCTGGAAATTGTTGGGGTGAGTCCTCTAACTTTGTTGTCCTTTTTTTGTTTTGCGGCCACACCTGGCGATGCTCAGGGGTTACTCCTTACTATGCTCTCAGGAATCACTCCTGGCAATGCTTGTGGGGTTATATGGGATGCTGGGAATTGAACCCAGCGTGGCTGCTTACAAGGCAAGCACTTTACCTGCTGTAATCCCAAATTTATTGTTGTTGAATACTGTATTAGCTATTGTTTTGAGTGTTGACTCTATTAACTTTTTAATTCATTTGTTTACATTTTTTACTGTGGTTGTTTCTATCTTTCAACCAAGATGGGAAGAACAAGATAGTTTTATATTGCCTTTATCTAGCAAGTTTATTGTGAAAGGACAATGAATTTAAAGGTTGCTTATAATCCCATGCATTTTGTTATGTAGGTAATCAAACTTTAATTAGGAAGATGGACCGTAATTTTTGCTTAAAATAAAGAAAAACAGGTTTCAAAGTCTTTCATGTCCCAGGTTTGTTTATCAAGGCAGATTTCTTCGATGATGTTAAAAATATTGATTCTCTGAGCAATTTCTGAAATGTGAGCAATTTCTGAAATCCTGTCTGAGCCACAGGAGGAAATATTAAAATGAGAGCACTGATTTATCCAGAATCTGTAAACTTTAACACATTGATGCTGTGCTTAAGTTTGTATTAAACCACATTCAAGTATGAGCCACCGGTGGTATGCACTGTGTTAACATGTTGTTACGGCAGTTGAAGGTTTTTGTTGACTCTCGCTGCTGGTGGCTTTTGTTTTTATAGCGTTGAAATGGTTTGTGAGTTAATAGCCCTTGGAACTAGTGCCATCCAAGAGAATTCAAGTATTCCTATTCTTTTGGCTTAGGGAGATTTGTTTTGGTGGTGCTGGGAAGTGAATCAAAGGTCTCATACACACAGGCAGTGTGCAGCTGCTGAGTCACACTGTGACCCCAGGCTTAGAGAGACTTCTAAGCAGCACTGCCGATTCTCCTTGAAGATCTGTCAAAAGGAGTATGTATGTCTGGTAGACTTAAGAGGTAGGGAAGACACTTTCACTAACACAGGCAGATATTTCTATTTATTTTCAGAAACTTTAGTTTAGAAATTCATCTGTTAATGGTATTAGCTTGAAGAAGACTAACATTAAGCACAATTTTAAGAGCATATTAGGGGCCAGAGTGATAATGTAGTGCGTAGGGCATTTGCCTTGCACATGGTCAATCTGGATTCGATCCTTGACATCCCATATGGTCCCCTGAGCACCACCAGGAGTAAGTCCTGAGTGCAGAGCCCAAAGTAAGCTCTTAGCACTGCTGGGTGTGACCCAAAAAACAAACAAACAAAAAAGCATATTAGCAAAAACTTAGGCTTTATACTCTGTACTGTAGAACCATAGAAATCAGTAAGTTGTGAAAAAGTGGTTTCTCTAAAATGTTTATTTCATTTAGATGTTTTAGATACATTTCTAAAATTTCTATTAGTTTCCTTTTTGGGGGGTGGGATTTGAGCTGTATGCAAAGTGCTCAGTGATCACTCCTGGTGGGACTCTAGGGGACCTTACAGAAACCAAGTCGACTGTGCGAGGCAGTGCCTACTCTACTATCTCTCCAACCCTCTTATTATTTTCAGAATAATTTAATCATTCTCTAATTTTTTGTTAATTCCTACTTTGAAATTTACTGTGTAATGTGACAAGTTCCACCTGGATGGTGAAAAACTTATTTCCAGATTGACATTGTAATAATGATTCATAAATCACTATGCCCTTTTTAAAAGTTTTTTTGGGGGGAGGAGAGGGTAGAGGTAACACCCAGTTGTGATCTGGGAATCCAAAGTTGAACCTGGGGCTCACGCATGCAGAGTATGCACTTTCACCCCTTCTTTTGAGCTCGCTCCCCAGCCTGAGAGTTGTTTCCGGAGTCCTTATGCCTGCAACATTTATAACATTTAATAAAGGATGTGCTGAAAATCCTTCAGGAAAATGCCAATAAACCGAGTCCAAATAGTATATGAATACTTTAATGCAAAATGCGTAACACTTAAAATTAGCAAAGCTTCATTTAAATTAAAATTCCACTTAACTAAAAAAGATGGTTAACCCCAAGAATTGTACAGTAGTTGATTTCTGCTATTATAATGCCAGTCCTAATGCAGTCTCTATTAAGAACTGCATCATTAGCTGTCATTTCCTCCACTGCTCTTCTGAATCCTAAGGGACTGGGGAGAGAATACTCAGACAGACATAAAACAAAATACAACCAAATAGAACTGCGCAGTAATTCCTAATAGTTATAAACCCATTTTGACTAAGCTGTTCAGTGAAACAGCTGGGGAATAACCACAGGCATTGTTCCAGAGCTGATAAGAGAATTTTTTGTTTTTTACAGCTTGGGAGAAGTTCTGCACTAGTCACAGTTTAAGGATGCATATTCCGTAAATAGTTACTACATATACACATTAGTGTCTGTAAACACTAGAAATATACATTAGACAAGTACCCTCACCAGCTGGGTACAGTTTAAAAAAGAAGATGAGGTAACATGAATCTCAAAGTCCACAGGAATCCTGCCTGAAGAATTTGAACAGCTGCCAGTAATTCACTTCCAATGTGCAGGGGTGTTAAGGCGTCACTCGGACCTTTAGGGCCGGCCGAAACTAGATTCACTGGCTTTCAGCATAGCAACAGCATCTTTCACTGCATGGTAGATAACATTCTTTACCTAAAATATGGATGAAAACATAGTTCACTGTTAAGTCTAAAATCTGTCACTAAGAATAGACTGAAATTTCCCCTATAATTAAGAAGTGTTCCAGTATGGGCTGGAGCAATAGTGCAACAGGTAAGGCACTTGGCTTTGCAAGCAGCTGATCCGGGTTTGATCCCTAGAACCCCGTATTCCCTGCCTGGAGTAACTTCTGAGCTCAGAGCCAGAAATTAGCCCTGAGTATCTCCAGGTTTTGCCCAAAAAAACAAAACCAAAAATTGGTACACCTTAGAAATAACTGCAGGTTTGCTTTCCACTATAGTAAAGTGACTACTCACAAAAAGAAGAATCACACAAAATTTTTAGTTTCTCGGTACATGTAAAATTTGTTTAAAATATAAACATATATTTTATATAAAATAAATGACAGCATTATCTGTACATACTTTAAAAATACCTTATTGCTGAAAAAAAGATGTTATCTGAGCCTTCAATGAACTATAATCTTTCTGCTGATGTTAAGCAAGAAGCACAATAAAGGAGGCTTATGACTACGTCGGAGAGTCTACTGAGCTCTTTTTGGCCAGTGTTTCAAAGGTATTTTATTAAAAAAAAATTTTTTTTAAACAAAAAATTTAATGTACAAAAAAAGCCACAGAATTATAATTGGCTAGAGCTTTGTTAAACTCCAATATTAAAATGAGTATAAAAATGCCAATTTATGTGAAAATTGTTACATCTGATTGTGGGGATCTTAAGTCCTTGTCTAAGAATTTATTAAGCTGTTAGTTGCTAGTTGAGTCATCTGTGTTACTGTTTTTGTTTGTTGAATTTAGTCAAACTTCAATGTTACTGTTACTTTTTCATCTAATTTGGTGTGCTCCTATTGGAAATTCAGTATCGAAGAATAAGGAGGTAGCAGGTAGCACGCAGCAGCAAAACAGTCCAGAGTTGAGGATTTCTGGTCTAGATCAGTGAGTCAACATGGCAGTGGCTATGGGAGGTAGACATGGCTGCCAGGACTTCCTTCAGTTCCAAGGCATTTTTAAAACCTATGCCTCAGATGAACTTGAAATTCATTTTCCTTCCTGGCCCTCTATGAATCCCAAAGATTCTGATATGCCCTTCCCAAGGTTTCTAAGAACACTGCAGCTCCAACCGTCTTTGTTTAAACAAGGACCCTGTTATGGCAGCTGAGCTGGGATCAGAAATCAGATTTATTAATCTAATTTCTCTTCAGGGATAGTTCTTACAGAGCTCCAATGGTATCAAATAGTACCAAACCAGGGTGAGTTCCTTTAGTCTACTCCTCTTCTGCCAGTAGACAATGCTACTAGAGATGTTTGGTCAAGCAATTAAGTTTATCAATTCACCGTTGATGTGTGATATGGCCAACTTCACCTAATCTTTACGAGGTCAGTGGTATACTGTGAAACCAGAGTTAGAAAGTGCAAGTTTTACCTGCAATTTATCTTCATGATTGGTGTGAGTCTGTGACAGATATCGGAATTCCTGAGTAAGCCAAAAGCAATGTTTAACATGCTCTGGAGAAACAAAATCTTCAGCCACTTTAATACAGCTATATAAGTTATGAACCTGGAAAACATCAAGCCACATTAATAAAACATGTACAGAAAATTCGTAACTTAAGGAATAGAGAATAATGGTTCTTGCCTGGTGTGGAGCTCCTGCTGGGATAAATACCACGTCCCCAAGAAACTGTACAATAGCCCAGCCTTGAACTCCATATTCTTGATGAAGACGCTTTCTTAGCGATCGGTCTAAATACCAACTCTGGTCATGAATAGGATCATGATCTGCTGGGTTTTCTTGGCCTTGTTCTTCTGATACCTAGAATATGTAAAAAATATTATGATATGATGCTGCGACCTAATGAGGGCCCCAACGCCCACTAAACAGCAGTCAGCTTTTTTCAAAATAAGTGCCCCTGATGATAGAAATATAGTATGCAAAGATATTAAATGAACGAAACAAAGACTCAAAAAAAAGTTAAAAATAGGTTTTAAATGTGCAGCTTGATGTGATGTCTTTGTATATATCTTTGTATAATGTCTAGATTACTTAAGAGACATATAAATGAAACCACCATTGTACAGCCAAAATAATGTATATATAAGAGAGTAAGAAATTCTCTAATTTCTGTGGTATCTATAACTTACTAGAATCCTCTACAGGAGGGTTAGAGGAGAATTCCCCCCAACCCCCCGACTTCTACATGTAGAAGGGTCTTAGCTGTGCTATACATTCAACGTCCGTGGACTAAATCAGGAAGGTTCCCAGTGCTCACATTAGATTTCAGGCTTTCTGCAGTTACTGTTTCCAAGCAGACTGGTAGCCTGCCTCAAGGGGGCAGATAGAGAAATGTCATCAGGGAATGACTTCATTCACTGAAAGACGTGGATTCAGTCACGGTGGAAAATGGAAGCTATTTTTACCTTATTGCAAGCAGATTTTGTAATATGTTTCTGTATGCAGTCTTTGCTTTCCAAATGGGGTTTACTCTTAATACCCGGCCCTCTCTCCAGTTCTAGCCCTGCATTTCCCAGTACCTGGCTCTCTCTACCTCACTAGGTAAGTCATTTACCACTGTGCCTCAGTTTACTCAGTAGTTTGCCATTAGACTGTGAGCTCCTTGAGAGACTGTCTCTTAATCATTGTCATACCCAGCGCCTTGCACCATGAAAAGTGCTCAATAAATGTTGAAACAACAATAACAACAAATAGGTTTTTTTTTTTTTTTAAAAAGGTCATTTCCTGAAAAACCATGCTGAGCATATTTTTGTAAATACTGTATTTGGTCAATATTTGGGTCTGGACTTTTTATTAGAAGTAGACTCAAGTTTCTTACAATTAGTTGTGAGGGGATGGTGAGACAGCAAAGTGGGTAAGGTGCTTGCCATACATGTGGCCCAACCCAAGTTCCATCCCCAGCATCTCATATGATCCCTGAGCCCTGCTAGGAGTGATACCTGCACACAGAACAGGAGTGAACTCTGAACACTGCTGGGTGTAGGCTCAAAGATACCCCCAACCTCACTCCCCTCCCAACCTCTCCAAACAGTCCAAAGTAGTTGTAGTTGAAGCTTATTAGATGTCGTATCTGAGAGCACACATTAAAATATGGTAACCAGCAAGCTTTCTGGAAGAATCAGTCCTTAGCCAGAAACATTTCTATTCATACAAATGCTGGTTAAGGCATACTCTATTATAGGAGTGTTCATAACTACTTCTCATTTAAAAAATGGAGTATTTGCCATAGATACCGGAAATGAAAACTGCACCCTCAGTGGACAACAAAGTCAAAACAAGTACTCCCATCTTTTCAGTTTCCTAGATCTTCCACATACAGTACTGAGAACAATCTGGAAATCTGGAATCTAGAAAACTCTGCATTTCTCTCCAATGATCCTTTATAATCTAATAGCCACAAGTTGGGCCTCAGGCCTTCCTGACCTTCTAAGTGATGTAGAAGGTTGGACAAAACCAACAGGACCATAGTAATTCTTTAAGAGCACAGTCATCAAGGATTAGGGAATGATGCTTCATAAAGCTCTGCAGTGCTAAGATTTTCAAGGCAGTAAAAACAAACATGTTTCTCTGAAGTGATCAGAACTAAAGTGAAAGTTGATCATAAAAATTACCAAGTGAACTATCATACAAAACACAAAAAAAGAAAAATGATTCTCCTTAGAGGTGTGAACTTAATTAGAAATCCTATTCCTTAGCAGCCAGTGTCAACAGCCCACCCAATTCAACATGCACAGATTTAATTCCTGATGTTGTAACAATTCACCAAATAACCCAGTTCTTTGAATGTACTAATTTATAATATTGCTATCCTCCAAACCTCTCTCCACATGTCATGGGATAAGCAGTATACCTTTTTAAGGAATTCTCGTATTTTTTCTGTGTCTTTAGCAGCATATATGTGCCAGAGAGCTCCTGGTTTCTCTTTTCCATCAATAAATCGTTTTATTGTGAGTTCATCTGAATCACCATCTTGGATGGTTTTAAGGACTTCTAGAGCAAGAGAGAGTAGACATTAGAACAAAGTGTCTTGCTCAGGGAGGAAGCGTCACTTATACTCAGCACCTACCCTCTTCTTGGTCACACTGTCCTTTGGGGATTCCCACGTAGACCATGACATTAGCTGCATCAGACACATCTAAGTGAAGATTTGTTGTTCCATATTTCCGATCTTCTGGGGTAATTAATCCTGAAATAGAATTATGTTTACTGAAGTGAATTAAGACTGCCACACTCTTTCTTGCTCCTTGGAAGATATTAGTCACAAAATTTTAAAGCTGCTCTCTAGTCATATAAGAGAGGATAACAGTAAATATTTTATTGTTTTAATTTTGAAGAAAACCTATTAAGTATTTCACTTTTTAAAGAAATAACTCAAATATTAGGACTCGTGTTTCTAATGATATGCAAAGCAGCTCTGTGACAGACCCACCTTTTGGGAACCTCTAAAATTCCTGGATGAAACTATTGAAAAAAACTCTTGTTAACAATCAGTGCTCTGGCAAGATGATTCAGAGACCTGTACTGGCAAGACAATCTAGAGACCTAGAAAACCTAGAAGACCTGAGTACTGCCAAAAAGACATTTGCTCAACCAAAGCAGTAATGCCAGCTTTGATTGTCTAGGAGCAAGATATGAAGGTCAGGATCCAGCAGCTACGATGGGGAGTGTACGGGACCAGAGCAATAGTACTATAGGAATGGTGCTTGCCTTGGATATAGCTGACTCTGGCACCATATATGGTCCCCTTGGCTCCACCAGAGGAGTGATGCTTGAGCAAAGAGGAGTAAGGCCTGAGCACTGCCAAGTGTAGTCCAAAAACAAAAAAGATGGAGAGTATACCCAGTCTCTCTCACTTAGGAATAAAGATGAGACCTCAAATGCATCAGTCAACACCCTTCTCGTTTGCTGAACCAAGCTTTGAGATGCCTGATGTTGTAATAATTCACCAAATAACCCAGTTACCTGCTCACAGGTAACAATGAGACATTACCCTCTTACCCCATTTCTTCTAAGTTTGTAGTTCTGCCCCCTGCCAAGCTATTTAAACCAAACAACTTGGAAACTTCTCAGATAACCACTTCTAAACCCCATAGGGGCTGGGATACACCACATGTTGGGGCACATGTTAGGCTTGTGCCCAACCCAGGCGCAATGCCCCCACACCACATCCTAAGCATCCCAAGATGCAGCGATGCAGACACCCAAACATTACCAGGTGTGTTCCCATGCACCTCCAGGGTGATGCTGGCTACCCTGAAGTCTCTTGCATAGGGTACAAGCAGCACTGCATCCTCAGGTCCTGTTACTCAAGTATCACCAGGAGTGGCCCCAGGAGCCCCCAGGCTCCACTTGGGAGAACCCCTTGTTCATCTCCCCCCGAAACACACAAATAAGATTTCTTTAAAGCACAGATAATCACATAGCATTTTATTATCTAGTTTAGTGGAAAATGCCTAAGTTTTATTGTTAAATAAAACCAAAAACCTAGACCCTAAGGTCTTGTCTCCACAAAGCGGCTTTGAAAGGCTCTACTGAAGGGACGCCAACTATAGAATATTCGGCAGACCTAGAACAAGGTTCTTTAAACCGAGTCCTGAGAGAATGGGCAAGGGGAAGTCTGCCTGCCATGTTTCTTCACAGGTCAGTATTCATCCTGCCTTCAGATAACTATCTTGGCATCTACTGTGACCTTTTCAACAGAAACTCCCCTCCCACTCTTCCCTGACACCACTCCTAGAAACGCTCTGGGCTCCTTTTACCCTAAGAACTAGGTCTGAGACCCCAAGCTCCTCCTTCCCCAGTGTCTGCAGAATAAGGAAAGATGCCAAATGATTCCTTTCTTTCTTCAGGGGGGCTACCACCTTCAAATCTATGAGACTGGCTAGAGTAAGAAGTAGTTAAGGGAGCAAGAAATCTAATCAGAAATAAAATTCTGAAAGACTGGGAAAGTTGGGATTAAAATTATAAAAAAAGCGAAAATCAAATTCACTGATCTGAACAAGTGAAGCCACTGAACACTAAGTTAGTAATTTTAGAACAGCTCATTTAAACTGAGGCTACAAGACCCCTGATGTCCCATATTATTATTATTATATTTTATGGTTTAATTTTTTGTTCTTTGGGTCACACCCAGCGATGCACAGGTGTTACTCCTGGCTCTGCACTCAGGAATTACTCCTGGTGGTGCTCGGGGGGATGTCCCATATTATTTTAAATAAAAAATTTTAAATGGGGACAGCTGATCACAGGCATATGGAAACTGAAAATTACATAAGCCCTCTTTTTGCATTATGAAAAAATATATACCATGGAAAGAAAAGAAACAAAAAGGAAACTCGTTGCTGTTTAAGTATGAGGATGATGGATGTGTTCTATCATTCCCTCCCCCCAAACTATTTTTCTCATGTTTGACTTGTTTCATTTCCATTACAATTTCCTCAAATTAACCTTTCATCCTTACCATAAGCATTGTACATCTTGGGACCAAGGTCTGGTCTAACAAAGTAGTTTGGCAGTCGAGAGGCCAAGTTCAGTTTACCATCTCTCCTTGTGTACTCAGGTAGTGGAATGTTGGCCATCAGATCATCAAACCTAGAAGAGAAGCCAGAATTTACATGTTTTGAAATAATCTAGAACAATTCCAGCTATAAGATTTGAGCGATAAATTTCTCATGATAAGAAATAACAAGAAATTCTACGATTCAAACTAATTAACTGAGATGAAATATAAACACCTGAGAAACTAGAGTAAAAAGTAGTGGGGTTATTCCATACATACTGAAGAACTGTTCAACACTGCACTGAGCTTTCTCTCTCCCTAGGTACTATTGGTAAAAATCTGCTTCCGTGCTCATAGATCCAGTACCTTGTCTGGAGGGTAAGAGTGATTTCAGAGAAAACTGGATGTCATATCTGCTTAACTGTATTCTGAAATTAGAGGTCTAGAGAAAAGCAAGGCACAAAAGAGAAAATCCAACTCTTAGAGGACACCAAGGGAAAGCTTTGAAGTTACGGGCTAATTGTTTAAATCATTTTATTTTTTAAAAACTTGAGGTACAGGATTTAAAATAGTGTTAGGGTTTCATTAACAAGATAAAATGTTCCAATACCAAACCCTCCACCAGAGTGTTCCTTCTGCCTCACCCTTTATAAATAAAGCTTTTCTTTTCAGGGGCTGGGGGGAGGATTGGGTTTGGGCTACGCAGGGATTACTTCTGGCAAGCACTTGTCTTGCACAGATAGGACAGTTGTACTATCCCTAGGGAAAGGGCTGAGAGGGAAGTGAGGGAAAACTTACGTATGTTATTCATTAATTCTGAGGATTCTTTTCAAAGTTCAGATCCAAATGAGGAAAACTGACCAACCACTTCAGCTGTCTCATTTGTCTAATACAATGACATCACTATTTACACCAATCCCTGAGCTGTCCAAATACATTACCTACAAATCTCTGCTTGCATGTTTGAGTTGACTTTTGGCAGGGAATTTCAGAGAAAATGTGCAGAGCTTAAATTAGTCAGGAAGATAAAAGTCAGTAATTAAAATTTTCATAAAAAAAAAAAACACATCCCTGGGGCTGGAGCAATACTATAGCAGCTAATGCACTTGGTCTTATATATAATATCACCAACCCAGGTTTGATCCCTGGTATTCCATAAGGTCCCCCAAGCCCTGCCCGGAGTGCTGAGAAAAAAGCCAGGAGTAAGCACTGAGATGCCACTCTGATGTGGCCCCCAAATTAAAAAAAAAAATACACCATCTAAACAGCCAGCTTCATAACTAATCTCAGAAGGCTGTCAAGCTGATGAAACTTATGGGCACACAGGCTGAAAACTCTGGGGGTCCCTTTGGAGTGGGGGATACGCTGAGAATCATCCCAGTCCTACAGATCCTGGAGCTCCTGGAACATGTGGCTGCGTACTTGGCCACAGGACACCTCCAATTCCACAGTTTTAACAGCCTCATAAGGAGGCACAGCAAATTAAAAGTCCAGTAAGCTCAGTAAGCAAAAATAACACAGAAACAAAGAAAGCTCAGTAAAGTCTCAGAGAATGATTTTAATAACTCCATTGTGAGATATAAAAATTTTCACAAACTTCCTTTTACTAGACTATTTTTAGATAATTCTATCTACTATTCTGTTTTAAGAAGTAATATAAAATAATTTTTTGCCTGCCAAAAGCGGATGGATGGGAAACTGGAGGCAATGTGGAGGGAAAGTCACACTAGTGGTGGGATCAGTGTTGGAACAAAGAATGCCCAAAACAACTGTATTGTGAACAACAATGTAAACCATAGTGTTTAAACAAATTAAAACCTGAAAGTTAAAAAATAATAAAACTTAAGTCTCCAAAGAGTACAGACTGGAAATTAAATATCAGCACTAATAAAATGAAGGTAATTTTTTAAAAGTAAAAACAGGTTTTATTTAGATATTCTGAAAGGAAGGAGATAGAGCACCTCAAACTAAGCTAATTTTAATAATCCCAAGAAAACTCAGAGTAGAGTTTACCCTATACCAAGTTTAAGGCAGAACCATCTCTGCCAATTCATAATCATAATACCTGGAAGGCATCATATCTCTAAAATCTTCTCCTGGTGGCCAGTCCTTAAGTTTCAACACCATTGGTTCTTTGTCATTTTTCAAGCGATCTACAACGCAATCAGAATAAATGAATTACTCTCTATCCATTACTCAGAAATATACCAAAATGGTAAATTAGCAAATAAATTTATCGATCTATATAAAATTTACATATCTAATCAAAGTTAAACTATTAAAGATATCAAAATCTCTGATAAGTATACATAAGCATACAAATATTTTTCTTTAATAGTTTCCTCTCATTGTTAACTTTTTATTTCTACAATACCAAAAATACCATCTTTCCAGGAGGTGGCAAGGAAACAAAATAATGATCATCAACTTATTTGTATGATGGTCCTGTCTTTACTAGATGTTTATTAAACTACTATTCATCCTTGAGGTCTAAAGCACTCCTTTGCAGAGATACAATCAGCTGTCCCCTTGACAGCCAGTTCTGGAAGAAGTGAGTAACTCCTCAACTAAATCAACAGAAAACTAGTTTAATAATGAAGTCACAGATGTTCCATAAACTCAGTTTTTTTGTAACAGAAATTACTTGTTTTGCTCAGAGAGTGAAATTAATGTTCTTTCTCAAGGATAATTAGGGTAAGTATGCCCTTCTCCCTAACTTCTGAATGCTATATGAGATTTAGTCAGGATTACTGTATTTTCTTGCTGTGTTTTAATTACTTAATACTTACAACTAAGCCCAATATCCTAATGAGATTATACACTATTTATTCAATATTCCTCTTTCTTGATAAGCAAATTAATAGATGCCCGCAGTCTAGGTTCAAAAAACCTATGATTTCAAGGCATATACCCTTGAGAACATCTGTACATGCTCCTTACCATAACATAGAGGCAACAAAGATGAGAGAGTAACAAAAGACAGAACGCCAACAGCACAAAAGTGAGTGACATGCTGGAGGTGTATGCAGAACCATTAATATGAAAAAAAGGTAAGTTATACTTGACTCTGCGCTGTCATAATCACCTCATAATCATCTATAGGCATGAGAAGTTTGAACCCAAGAAAAATTAAATTATGGAGCTCATATATAGAGGAAGTACTAATCCAGAGTTAGGATCTGAGGGTTAGGGAGAAAGCTCAAAAGGCTGACATGTGTGACTGGATGTGCAAAGTGGCCCTAGATTTGATTTCCAGAACCATATAGTTGCCAAATGCCTACATATATTAATCTGGTAGCCACCCAAGAACCATAATGAGACCCATGCACTGAACTGTAAAGTACCAGCAGGAGTGACTCCTGTGCCTAAGTACTGGTTGGGAGAACCCCCTATTTTTGGGGGGGCTGGAAGGAGAGTCAGGATCTATACTCAGGTTAACTAGAAAGCACAGTGTGGTAATTGTACCACCGGACTGCCAAGATTAGCTTCCAAGACACAGCTTTAGTTTGCCTCCTCTTTACAGGCTGGCTTGCCAGATCATGCCTTTCTGTATCTTGCGACAGACATCAATAGGGGAATAAAGACCTGGACATTGTCCACCTGACACAAGGTGGAACAATACTTGCTCTCAAGCTCCCTGGCCAGATTTATGGGAAAATTTGTCAAATCTGAATTGCAGCTGGCTCCATTTCCTATCCAATCTTGCTCCTCCCTCTTCATTCAGGATTTCATTTCACAGATGTTTATCTCTGGGTCGACATTTAATATCTGAAAGAGTTGTGGTAACCCGTATCACACTATACAACCTAGGAGTTAACTGTAACTTTGCTAGCTTGTTCCAAGTATATACTATAGTCTGTAAAATTGGATAAAGGAATGCCGAAGCATTAGAGAGTGAAAATAGGTTTTAAAAGAGTGGTGAAACAAAAAGGCAAGTTATTGACAGAGATACTTGCACATCAGACACAGATAAAACTCAAATATAAAGAACTCACATAAATGAAAAAATATAAAAATCCTATCAAAATTTGGGCAAGGAGTAAAGGAGACAGCTCAAAGGGCAGAAGTACATGCCTGGCATGCACAGGGTCCCAGGTTCAAACCTCAGCACTATACAGCCTCCTGAACACCACTAGACATAGCCCAGCTGGCCCAGCACTGCTGGAAGAGGCTAAAAACAAAAATGGGCAGAAAAAAAAAGGGCAGAAGATTTGAATAGGTATTTCTTCGAAGAGGACATGACAGAGAGCCATGAGAATGGCCTATGCCAAAAAATACTGAAAACAAGTGTTGGTGAGGGCACAGTAGCAAAAAAACCTAAATCCTTGTACACTGTTGATGACAATGTAAATGAAGGCAGCTTCTATGGAAAACAGTATGGAAATTTCTTAAACTAAAAATATTAATTTATCCCTAAAGGAAAGAGAGAGCAAAACGGAATGCCGTGCACAAAGGCGGGGTGTGGGGGGATGAGGTGGGGTGGGTGGGAGGGCTACTGGGATCATTAGTGGTGGAGAATGGGCTTTGGTGGAGGGATGGGTACTAAATCATTGTATAACTGAAACCCAAGCATGACAGTTTATAAGTCTACAACTGTACCTCATGGTGTTTCACTTAAAAAAAAAAATTAATTTAGCACAGGTCATCTAGTCACTGCTGCTTTATCTAGGCATTTCTCCTAAGAATCTAAAAACACTAATTTAAAAAGATTCATACATGCATCTCTGCTGTCTATAGATTATTTACAATAGCCAAGACATAAAAACAACCTAGGTCTATACAGGGATAAGTGGATAAAAAAATTGTGGGTGATGTGCTAGTCAACTATTTAAAACTGAACTCTTGCATTTCAGTAACACTGATGAGAATTAAGGTGATTATGATATACAATAAAATAAGTCAGAAAATTAAAGATAACAATCAAATTGGTTTTTTCTTATGTGGACTATAAATAACCAAACCAAAAAACTTAACAAATCACAACAAAAACAACTCTTAAGACTGAAAAATTGGAAGACTTCTAGAGAAAGGAAAGGAGGAGGTGGAAAAAAGGGTCAAAGAGGGTCACTCTTGGGGGACTGGAGCGATAGAACAGTGGGTAGGGTGTTTGCCTTGCACATGGCCGACCTGAGTTCGATTTCCAGCATCCCATATGGTCCTTGAGCACTGCCAGGAGTGATTCCTGAGTGCAAAAGCCAGGAGTAACTCCTGTGCATGATCAGGTGTGACCCCCCTCCCCAAAAAGAGGGTCACTCTGATAATGGAAATGAACTTTTGTGTCGAGGCTTATAAATATACACCAATACTGAAAAGGGGAGGGGAGGGAAAAGAGGGAGGAGGAGAGAGAGAGAGAGAGAGAGAGAGAGAGAGAGAGAGAGAGAGAGAGGGAGGAGACGAGACTGGCGAATAAGCAAACTTGAAAAACTACTGAGAGTCAAAAGACTAAAGTGACTTCAACCCTTTCAGCAGGAAAGGGGCATAGTGACTTTTATGGTACTGGCATGAATCCATAGGGCCCAGAATGGACTTGATGTTCTTTGAAAGTTTACCAGTCAAATCTAAAGTTCAAACCTTAGCATGCAAACATTCCACTGCCACAATTAGATAGCAGCAGTGACTAGATGACCTGTGTTCAATTAATATTCCCTGGAACCTTCAGGTCTCCTTATTTTTAAGCAATAATTAAACACATTTAAAAGGACTTATGATGGTGAGAAACAAAGTATCCCCAGCATGGAGTCTTTACAAACCTGGTTTTGGACACCCCCCACCCCATCCCCACCTGCACATACCGGGCAGAGATGATAGAAGTACAACTCTACAACTCTTACTACAGGATGCACAAAGAATCAAATGAAGGACAGATGACTAAAACAGATGACTAAAACCCAAAAATCCCTTTTTTTGTAAAAAGGAATTACAATGTGAATACACCTCAGTTCAAAAGCATAAACTTTATAAAAAGGACAGAAGACAGGACTTTAAACTCCCAAGCCTTATAAATGCCACTAGAGGGTCTGGAATCCTACTGTTACTATGGTGCCTTTCTTTTACATTCTAATACCCTTAAAATATCTTACATACATACTTGGAATATCTTCAAATCCATCCCAGAAGTCCCCTACAGTAGCTCCTGTGATGATTTCATTGGTTCGACAATTAACTAGGTCAACTTCCTGGCTTCCAAATTCTTTCCTGAAGGATTCGGGTTTCCAAAGCTCGGTGTTCAATTTGTGATGCACTCCCGACACCATCACTGGCTAAAAGAAGAGAATGCAATCTTTAGTTTGACTCTCTTAGCTCTGCCCCTTCTGCAGCAGTGCCTCTTCAAACAGTTGGTTTGTTCCTGTACAGCTGGTACTCAGTCTCAGATCCTGAAGTACTCCTTAATTCTCTTAGTTCCCACAGCTTTCTTTGTGTGTGTGTGTGTGTGTGTGTGTGTGTGTTTTGGGTCACACCCGGTGATGCACAGGGGTTACTCCTGGCTCTGCACTCAGGAATTGCCTCTGGCAGTGCTCAGGGGACCATATGGGACGCTGGGAATCGAACCCAGCTCAGCCGCATGCAAAGCAAATGCTCTACCCACTGTGCTGTTGCTCCAGCCCCCGCCCCCACAGCATTTTCTGTCTTCATTACTTATCTAATATATATATATATATATACACATAGATATAGATATAGATATAGATATAGATATATATACCTTGCACTCAAACTACATTATAAACTTTTAGGAGCAAGGATCACACCACCCACTGCACCTTCTGATTGAGATCCCTTTACTCATAAAATACCAAAGCAAAGTTGGGGCAAGGCAGGGGATGTGAAGGAGAGATAAAGTTGATAGGTATGTTCTTCCCAAAGAGGGCACGGCAACTGGCCTCCCATCTGTTTCCAGGCTGGAATATGCCTGAGGTTATACAAAACATGCCACAAATCCTAATTTAATATGAGTCAAATGCTGGTAGAGTTCAGTTTAAAAAAAAATTGAAGCAAACTGGTGGGCTATTCAATTCTGTAATTTTGTACCTGGTATTACTTGATGATAAAAATGAGCAAATGTTATCAGTATACAGGCTGGGATAGAGAGAGAAAAAATAATTTTTTTTTGGTGGCTAAATACATTTTACTATTTGGTAATTTTCCCAGGTTGGTATTGTACAAGATTTTGTTCCTTTAGCACAACTCCATTTGGACCGTAAAGAAATCAAAGATCAGGAAAATATAAATAAAGTAGGATCAGGTCTGCAAGCCTCATTCATCTACTGAGTTAATCAAGCAAACTAGGATCAAACAATATAACCCTTCAAAGCAGGCCCATGAGGAGAGATAATACAGTAAGTAAGGCACTTGCTTTGAATGTGACTGACCCAGGTTCCATCCTCAGAACTCCATAGGACTTCCCAAGCCCATAAGGCGTGATCTCTGAGTATAAAGCCAGGATTAAGTCCTGAGCACAGACAAGTGTGGCCCCAAAACCAAATAAAAATAAAATACGTCCTTGGGAGTTCATATACCAACTCTAAAATGATACCACCTTGTACTAGCCCTTCAATATTGCCTTCAGCCCAAGAGTTTAATCGATGGATGAGGGAAACATGATTGTTCTCTGATTCTGTCTGATCCTCAGTCTCTTACTCTTACTCTTCTGTCTTGATCATTCAAAAATCACTGAACCCAGAATCAAGAATCAAAAATCCAATGATGACAGGAAGCAATCAAAACTTCACTGGAAAAGACAGCTCACAAATGTGTGCTATAAAAAAAGACAGTTACATGCTGCTCTACTTATATTCACCCTTAACAATAAATACAGTAAAGTACAAAACAGATAAGACATGAAACTCGTAACTGGGGGTGGTTTCAGAAGTTTGCCAAATGAACCAAGTAAGGGGATCTGAATTGCAATTGGGAGCAAGGCTCCTATAATTACCTGTCCTTGTTTCCAGCATTCCCTAAATACATTCCAATTGCTCTTATTATTGGGGTCTTGCAGGCAGAGCAAACGATTATCACACAGCCAGTAATGAGGAGTGTCAAAGCCCAAAATACTAGGCTTGATCGTCAGTCCTTGAGGTCTCTTAGACATATCAGAAGAGGTCTTATTTTGCACCAGAGAGGCAAAAATATCATCAAGGATTTTTGGTGTATTCTTTAGTCCATTTTCTGTCTGAATTTGAGAAAGAACACAAGTCAAAGAACACAAGTCATTCCTTACCATCAAACACCTGTTCCCATCATGGTAGGATGAGTGCACATTACATATCTAGGGAATCGGAGCCAGGAACCTAGACAGAGAGTAAGCTCCCGTTTCCTACTTGACACCACAAATCACACAAGTGGGCTGTGTATGAGGGGGAAGTGGCTCTGCCCAAAACCATAGTCTTGTTAAGGGTTCCTACATCTGATACAATCTCTGGACCCCCAAAGGCAGGGAAGGGTTTGATATCCTTCTAACTTATTCTTGAAGTTTCTATTCTCCTTTTTCGACTCTTCCTTTACAAGGTAGAATAGAAACACACACACACAAAAGAATCATACCTTTCCTGTAGAAGAATTCAGCAGATTTCGGAGAAAACCAGAATTGTTGCTCACAGGAGTCAAAATTGTGCTGTTGAAGGTGTGAAGGACTGTGTTGGTTTTGCTCAAAGGGGGCAGGGGTGGTAGGCATTTTATTTCATTCTTTAAAATTGGCATTGTTGGTTGTTTTTCTAAAAAATAAAAAAAAACATTACTAGTCTTCTATGTCATCTATTAACAAAACTGTTTTGGAATTTGGTTTTATTTTCCTTCAAGAGGATAAATGACATACTGATTTAGGCAAGAATTTCAAATGGATAGTAAAATAATAAATGCTAAGTATCAAAGACAAAATTACTACAGTAAGTGGTTTTCCATTTTTAAAAAAATTCATTTTTTTTTTTTAGGTTTGGGGTCACACCCAGTGCCAGTACTCAGGGCTTACTCTTGGCTTTATGCTCAAGGGCACCAGGGATCGAACCTAGGTTCAGTCACCGGTATGCAAGGCAAGCACCCTTTCCACTGTGCTCCAGCTGCATAAAATGACATTTTTCATACGTCCATTTTTTGTTTGTTCCTAGTATACAAAATATAATTTTTTGTAAATGAACATTCTACCTAGCAATCTATTAACTAGATGCTTATTAATAGAATCAATTATTGATACTGATATTATAGTATCAGTCATAAATTGTAATAATAATAAAAAGTCTCAGCCATCCTCCACTCTTACCAAAAATAATTTTAACCTCACTTAGAGTTTGATCATCAGCAAAATTCTCTGATGCCGCATTCTGAGAACACATTTACAGTCTCTGACTATAAGGAATCCCTTCTCATTCCACAGCACCACTAATCACACTGTTCTCACAGCAACGAAGTTGCCACATCCCTCTGTGAATGGACTGAGGTTCTCAGAAACCCCGAGGCAGGTTTAGGAAACACTCACCCTTGTTTTCCTTGTTGACGTTCCCACTGGTCAGATCTGCCAGCCAGTTTAGAGGAGAGGAGCTGGCAGAGCAGGCAGGTTTCAGGCTGCTGGCTGGCTTAGAAGCAGCTTCCCCGCCCACAGTCACTGGCTGCAGCGCGGAGGGATTCTGCTGGAGACTGGCACCCAGAGTGGATTTTTCTCCAGATAAGGAAGTCTGTGTTGAGAAGATAGTTTTACATAAACTGAAAATTTATTTCCCTTTTCTTACCTTTATCCTCAAAAAGTCACCAGGAACAAACAAAACGTCCACAATAAAACTTAATAGCCCCAGGTACCACTAGAATTGTGATAATCTTGTAGTACCAAAACACAATGATAAGGTAGGAGAAATTTTAATCTTTTAGCTTCTACTTAGTAGTAGTGAAAACATGAGATAAATGTTCATATCACTCTTATTATGATACTTCAAAAAATAAATGACCTGTGCCTATCTTTCGCTCCAGTCCGATTGCACAGCGGTAGGGCGTTTGCCTTGCACGCAGCCAACATGGCCGACCCGAGTTCGATTCCTCCACCCCTCTCGGAGAGCCTGGCAAGCTACCCGTGATGTATTCGATATGCCAAACACAGTAACAACAAAGTCTCCAATGGAGACGTTACTGGGCCCGCTCGAGCAAATCGATGAACAACGGGAGGACAGTGACAGTGACAATTTTTCATGTGAACTCAACGTACAGTGACAGTGCCTATCTTTCATGTGAACTCAACGTAGTATCTCAATAAGAACCCCAATCATGGCTGCTAGTTATGAACAGGAAAATATGAGACAGGATAGGAAAGCTTCAGTTGTGACATTTAAAAAAGAAAAAAACTGGAAGGGGGAAAATACTATTTTTCATCAACACAATGTAGTAAGCTTTAAGCCTGTATTAAAATAACTCAAAACTGGAAAAATTACCACTTATTTTTCAATTATTCAAAAAAATGCCTTCATGACTAAACTGATGGGAGTTTATACATATAGGACAAAGATAATCGGGTTCCTGCTATGGTCCTGATCCTCCCTTTAATGTGTGATGTAATTCTGTGATTCCCAACTATCAGTCTTGTTTATATTTTCTCTAAATGAGGAAGCTGAACACTTATGATTCAGTTCATCTGAACCAAAGTGAAGTAACTAGAAAATGGCAGGAAAAAAGCAACTCAAATTCAGTTCTGACACCAAAGATCAGAATACTTCTACCAAGGCTGCCTCATAACCACAGCTTTATGGACATGTAAGGAAATTTCTGATTATTATTAAAGAGAATGTGGGGTGTCTCTTACAGGGCTGAAGGATGGTGAAATGTGGACAGTCTATGTGACAGCGGAGGTGAAGGGAAGATCATGGTCACGGTCACGGTCCTCCCGTTGTTCATCGATTTGCTCGAGCGGGCCCAGTAACGTCTCCATTGTGAGACTTCTTGTTACTGTGTTTGGCATATTGAATATGTCACGGGTAGCTTGCCAGGCTCTCCGAGAGGGGCAGAGGAATCGAACTCAGGTCGGCCATGTTGGCTGCGTGCAAGACAAACGCCCTACCGCTGTGCTATCGCTCCAGCCTGAAGGGAAGATGAGTACCAAAAGAAAGTATGGGTTTTAATGGGAAACGGGCAAAGAATTATTTCAGTATTTCCTTCAACTTCCAGATACATAAGTGAAATATATTTTCTTCTTTTAATGTAAAGCTTGTATGAATAATTTAAACTGTGAAACATGAGATTTTTAAAACCTATTCAATGTGAGTTTTTTTATTTGACTACAAAAGTTTTTTGCTTTTTCCAAGGAACAAAAATTAAAAGCTTACTAAAAAGAGGGACACATAAAGAATGAGGTTCACAAAAGTATTGTGAAAAGTGAGAATGGGTCATTCAAGTGAAGACACTGATATTTGGAACGGTTGTGTTCCATTAAACACATGAATTACATCTTTCCACTGACAGCTTTCCCAAGGTTCGTTCCAAATACACTATAGAAATCCTTTAAGTAATCCTATTTTCAACAAACAATAATCACAAGGATAGTAAATCTTGCATAAACAGCAATATACCTGTTTTATATCTTCCTTTAAAGTTGGCTTTGAAAAGATTTTGAATTGCCTGTTTGAACAGGGACAATTTGCCTTTATTCCCCATTTTGCTCTTACAGAATGAACAATGTCTCCAACATCATACAGAGCTAAAAAAAAATAAAAAAAATAATAATAATAATTAGTGGGTCGGGCTGAGGCAAACATCTGAACAAGGACACTTAGACACATTCAACCTCAACATCACAAAGAAGTAGCTGATATTTCTAACACGATTACTTTTTAATCGCAGCATTATTCTTAACTGTGTTTGGCATATCGAATATGTCACGGGGAGCTTGCCAGGCTCTCCGAGAGGGGCGGAGGAATCGAACTCGGGTCGGCCATGTTGGCTGCGTGCAAGGCAAACGCCCTACCGCTGTGCTATCGCTCCAGCCCTCCTACCTTTCATCCAAAGTATTCCCCAAAACATACCATTTTCATTCCCTCTACCAAACTATTTACAACATCTTTCCCTTAAAAAGCTTTGGGTATTACTTAATTTATTTCTGAAGAATTTATGGTACATACTAAAATTAGGTTAGCAATAATTAGATTATTCAAGGTAAAATCAAATTCCCAACTCCTATTAGCAAACCAAAACAACATGAAAACCACTGTACCACACAAAATACCTTTTCCAGGAATGATCTGTGTGGGCATTAGGTTCTCAGGTTCATGAATCTGACTCTTCACACATTTTAGCCAGGAGAAAGTCTTGTAAGTAGCACCTGCAAATAATTAATCTATAGTAACTTTTTCATGGAATCTGGCTCCAAATGCTTCAGTATTTCATCAATCACAAACCAAAAGGCTAGTTTACGATGTATGGTGCCTATAAATCAACTCAGTTCTTACCCTGCTGATAATTTATTCTCTTCATGCGGTAGCAATCCACACACACTCCAAATCCACATCGAGGACACACCCAGTGCAGATTGAAGATGGTGGTATCACACACATCACACATTTCTCGAACACCTTTGACAGCTCGCTTCCAAGCAACCTGCCCTACAAAAATCAACACATCACTTTATTCTAAGGGAGGGCCTTTTGAAATAAAATGTGAAGGGGTGTGGAAAATTCCACCATCACTTCACCTTTATCTTTTTTATCTTAAGGAAAACAGAGTCCCGATTCATTAGTAACTGCCCTCCCAAAAGACCCCAACCAATAAGTGGAAAAGAACCCATGCAATTAGGAGTTTGGTATCATTTAAGAATAAAAATCATGTTGGACCAAAAAAAGAAAAAAAAAAACTATTCCCTAAGAGAGGCTCTTACTGTGTGGCTCAATAGTTGACATAGCTTCCTTTTCAGAAATCACCATTTGACAGAAGTGGTCTCCGATGTTGGCCAGGATATATTTAGCTGTATCCAGATCAGTCCCCACAACGTTTTTGGTTAAAGGTAACCACAAGCCAATTGCCTCACTGTCATACTTGTTTGGTGTTAAGAAGCCTTCTACCCGTAACACACCATGTTTGTTGAATTGTAACCTAGAGAAAGTGGGGAAAGTGTTATACACAGAGAACTGATTTTTATCTCACACTTATTATTTAAATGTTATTTAAATAAACTGCTTCCCAATTTTCTTTAATCTCCATAGGCTAATTACAGCAAACAGCTATTTGGCAAAATTAGAAGGGGGAAAATTCAAAAATCCCTACAAACAATAAGCCACATAAAGACACAGAGACCTGGAGAGGGCAAAAAGGGAAAAGGAGGCGAGTGTCTCTTTCTGAACCAAGATTTAATCATACTACCTCCAGTTACTGAACCTGCCAGATTTAGGACTTAACAGTCAGGGAAAAATAATAAGTCATCACAAAGTAAGCCCGTAAATAAAGAGAAGACAATCAATTATATTTGAATACAACTACTACCTTAATGCTCAATAAGGGGAGGTGAACTCTCAACCACAAACATCCATGAGGCATTCAGCACCCAGGTGAAATGAATTCTAGCTACAAATTACTGTGCAAGTTTGAAGAATGGTAGGCAGTGTTAACTTAGCTTCAGTGTGTAAAAAGGTAAAGGTACAATACTTTCTCTGTATGTTCTTTCCATATCTCTGATACTGAACTTTTCCCTAAACTATGTATATTTTGAATTTTTTGAAGTACAGATTTAGGTCAATCTGGTTGGAGACACAAAGCGAAGCAGGACATGCTATACTAACAATCACAAATGTTACAAGAACTAAGAGTGTTGATTTATGAGTTTTGTGGGCTAACATACAGACTTCATGATAGAGGTAGTAATTAAGCTTGGCTTTGCAAGAAAAGACAGACATAAGGGACTGGAAGGCAAAAATAATAGAAAGTAAGAAAAACATTTAGGGTTCCTGATTCCTTCTTTAAGTACTGGGCAGCTACGAAAACCATCTTAAGTCACTGGACACAAAGTTGTATTTTAGAAGAAAAAATTCTCCCAGGGTGTAAAATAAACTGGAAGGCTACTGGATGTTCCAAAAACCAATAGAAACTTAATCAAACATTCAAAAAGAGAATTCAGGTTTATAATTGATAGGTCAAGTCAGATAGTCATAATAATTAAAAATCATTTGAAAGTTATTTCAAAGGGGCAGGCAATAGCAAATAGAACCAAACTGTAGCACTGAGCCTACCCACCTCCTATTTCATATACAAGAGAAAATAAAAAAGAAACTAGGTAATGAAGCTAGAGATGACTTCACTATATACATCAGAAAGAAGGGTTCTAATTTTCAAATTATTTTTATAAAAATGTGAGTCTGTTCCAGTTTCTACCAACCTTACTTCTCCAAAACATTAAGCAAAGTCACTTTTCTTCAAAAAGATTTTTTAAATGGGAAGCAATTTATTTAAATAATATTTAAATTTATTTTTTAAATAGATTCTAAATCACAAAGAATCTAATTTCTGACTGGTTACAAAATAGTGAGTTTTTCTTCCCCTTTTCTTTTGAATATATATTTTGTACTATCTTTCAAAATAGATGCAAGTACATAAAAACATTTTTTTTTTTTGCTTGTTTTAAGGCAACACTTGGCTGTGCTGAGGATTTACTCCTGGCTCTGTACTCAGGGATCACTTCCTGTGGGCTAGTGGGACCATATGGGGAGTGTCACGGATTGAGCCTGGGTCAGGCACATGCCAGGTAAGCATCTTACTTGCTATATTCTGCTCTGTTCCCACAAAAGCATTTTCATCTTAAAATCTTACCTGTTTAGGGGTGAAAAAATCTCAGACGGAAAGCACAATCAAACTAAACTTTACTAACAATATATTTTGTATTGTATTGCTTAGCATATATATCAATACACATTTATGTTAAAATATTTGCAGTTATCATGGCTCTGAATAACACTTTCTCATGGTGCTCTTACAAATTACTCAAAGTAAAACTACTATTTGAAAACAGCTTCAAGTTCAGAGGCTGGAGAGATAGTACAATGGGTAACCCAAATTCGAATACATATGGTTCCCCAAATTCCATCTGGAGTGATCTCTGAGTACTGAACACAGGAATAAACCCTTAGTATTGTCAGTATTGCTCAAAAACAAAAAGAAAAAACATCTGAAATTCATCTATAATCAGAATAACGCAATATACAGAAAAAAAGGTTGCACCTATACATAAACCTATTGAGTTTTTCTTGACTCAGTGTGGAAGAAACAAACAAACAAAAAAAAAACATAAAGATGAAGGATTTTGCTCATATAACTGATTTGGGGGTCATACCCGGCAATGCTCAGGGGTTACTTCTGGCTCTGTACTTGGGAACTACTCCTAGGGGTACTCGGAGAACCATAGGAGATGCTGGGGATCAAATCCAGGTCAGCTGCATACAAGACAAACGCCATACCCACTATATCATCACCAAAAGTTTTATTTTGACAAGAACATAATCTCCTTTAAAAAAATATTAAATTATTTGTGGTACTTTTTCAGAACCTTCAGCATTTTTCTGTAGTTCTGTGTTACTTTTCAAAATAGAAATTTGCACTTTAAGATCCTTCAATTAAAAAAAAAATTAAAAGGGCAAATGAGATGGAAATAATTTACAATATCAATTTCCTAAATCCACAGATTAAAGTTACAGCTTCTACTTTTTTCAGTTATAGATTCACTGATAACAGAAGAGGAGAGGAGAAAAATACAAGTGAGGGAAAAATACAAGCCTCCTTCCTCAGGGAGGCCCAGGTTATCCCAGAATGTCTCACCTCCTAAAGTGAAAGAAGCGACAAAACACAGGTGAGTCTTTGGGTTGCTCCTTGTCTTTTCGGAGACTGTCCAAACGACACTCTCGGCACTTAGGCAGTTGTGCAACAATGTTTATACAGGAATCATCCTGTACAAAGGCCTCACCGCTCTGCTGAAGCTTCTTGAGTTTGGCTGGGTCTGTCAAAACTGACTTCCGAGCTTGGACTAGGGAAACAAAAGATTGAAAAAAATGGGACATCAAGTTTTAAAAGATTACATTAAAATTTGACTAAACTCTATTCAAATTTCCCAAAAGAGATTTTAAAATTTTTCTCTTATAAAATGTCCTTTGGTGAATCTTTTTTTGGCAATTTTAAATCCCATGTTCAACAATCAGACTCAAAATTTAAATTTATACTTCTATTCACAATCCTGGGTAAGATGAATATTTTAAGAAGACTTTTAAATCAGATGCTTAATTCAAAAGCACTTCAACATGAACTGAGCAAATAGGTTTAGCTCAAGAGAGGTCTGTGTGAAAGTCAATTCTGTCACTTTCCACAAAAAAAGTGGTTGTTTACAGGATGTTTTCTAAAACTCTCTTCAGGAGTAATCAGTCTAGGGGCTGGATATATGGCTAAAAGAGGTGGAACACAATCCCGTATGTGCGAGGTTCTAAGTTTGACCCCCAGCAGCACACAGCCCCTCAGGTGATCCCAAGCACCAAGTGAGTATCCCAATGGACCTTAGCACCTTGGTCAGTGTCTGAGCACTAAACTAGGTGTCAGGCTTGCACCAAAGGGCCTAGCTTGTATCAATGGGATGTTCCCCAAGATCCCAGCGCTGCTGGGTATAGCCCTATTTAAAAAAGCTAACCAGGGCCAGGGCCAGAGATAGGGTATAAGGGTTAAGGCACTTGCCTTGCATGCTGCCGACCCTGGTTCAATCCCGGCACCGCATATGGTCTCCCAAACACCACCAGGAGTGACCCCTGAGCACAGCGGGTGTGGCCCCAAAACAAAAAAACAAACATACACAAAAAAGCTAACCAACTGCGCTAGAGAGATACTGCAGGAATTAGGTACATGCCTTGCATGCCCTAGACCCAAGTGAATCTCCTACACCACATAGTCTCCTGAGCAACCATCAGGGTGCCTGGCATAAGCAAGCACCACCACATCCTTGGAATCTAGCATTCAATCACTGACCTAGTTGGCCAAGAACTGGCCCCTGGGCCTCCCTGAGCACTGCTTGGGAGGTCTCCTAGGTTCATCAAAAACAAATAACCACTCCAAATATAATGAAAATCAAATGGTTTTCCTGCACAGACCCTTTAGGGTATAAGATAAAATACATTCTAAATGCTTCCTAGAGATGTTACCTGTGAGTCTTAATTTCATTAGTGCAGGTGTTACATAAAAAATTGGAAGTACTGGTAAAATAACCATCTTTAACTTAAAGCATCATTGTAGAGATGATTAAATCATACCTCTTTTAAGGCAGGACTAGAGCATACTATAAAATACTAAAGACTGAGCTGAGGAGATAGCTCAAAGGGCTGAAGCACATGCTTTGCATGTAGGAGTGCAAGGTGTTATGGGTGAGAGAGTGTGTATCTCCACTACCATCTCTTATGCTCTTCCAATAATGATACATAAAAAACACTCACCGTTCTGGATTTTATTGTTGCTTCTTGTACAACAGCTTTCACTATCTACTTTTACTGAAGATTCCTTTAAATTTTGTGACTGGCAACCTAAAGTTGAAGGTTCTACCTTTTTTTCCACACAAATACTACGTTTATCAGCATCACCTGTTTTCTCTTCTGCCTTATTTGAATGAGTATCAGATGTGGAAGGTGCATGTTCTAAGTGCTTCTGAAGTTCAGGAGTACTAGTACTTTCTAATTCTCCCAGAGAAGACTTTGTAGGTAAGTACTCCACAGGAAGACCAGTAGATGGTTGAGGAATAGGTTCCAAACTATTTTCTTCATCAGTGGTTGCCTTCAGCTGGGTACAGCTACTTTGGGGTTCATTCATGGCTTTCAAGTCTCCATTTCCAATCTGAGAAGACTTTGAAGAGAGCAATCCTACTTTACAAATAGTTTCTGGTTTTGTTCTTTGTATTTCAGGATTTGTAACTAGACAGGAAGAAAGTTCTCCTGGTAGACTTTGCTTCTGACACCTGAAAAAGATGAAATAAAAAAAACTAACATCTGAGACCAGTGCTTCCAAGAGTGGGTAATGCCACCCTACCAATGGCGTGGAGGTGGGATGGGGCAATAGCCTTGGTTACAACAGGTTGGGGCTGAGGGGGGAGAGCAGAGGACATTTTCTGTTTATTCCCCTACAGAAGGTAGATTTCTGCGGGGTGGGGAGCTGAATGGTTTCAATTCCCAGCGTCCCATATGGTCCCCTGAGCACCGCCAGGGGTAACTGCTGAGTAGAGAGCCAGGAGTGACCCCTGTGAATTGCCAGTTGTGACCCAAAAAGCCAAAAAAAAAAAAGTAGTTTTAAAATAGATGTATAATTTTCAATATTTTTTTTATTTTTATCTTTATATGTCTGTCATTTTATACACCCAGGGTTGGAGTTATGAGTGGAAACATTTAAGCAGCCCTGCCCTAAGGTAACAAGTACAGAAAGGAAAAATTTGCTCATCTTAGAGAATTTAGGATAAATCAGTCAATGACTTCAAAAATATCTAAAATTCTAAGAAAAAAAAAAAAAAAACCATGTTACCCAAAACCGTTCAAGTTATTTTCTACTTTTTACAGAATAGTTAACCTTATCTTTCCCTCGAATATCAAAGGGAACCCAAACCACCAGTACTACAAAAACAAAGAGGCCTGTCCTATTATTGACATCAGATAACCAACTTGAACGCCGAAGATTTCATTATCGTTTGGCAAGTGATCAGGACTCAAAGCAAAGGAAGGATCATTTATTACTTGATTATTCATGGAACACTATAAATTCTTCCAACCCATCCTGATAAAGATACACTTCAAGTTAATTTTTGTTCCTTTGAAATTCACCCTAAAGTTTTCTGCTGCAGAACACAAAATGGGTTTTTTTTGTCAAAATTTTCCTCCAATTCTACAAAGGATTCCATCCTTGAAAAAAAATTTCTCATTAAAAATGTTTCCTTGACAAATAGTAATAAAGGTCCAAAGGCAACATAACAGGAGAACTGATCCACACAATTCAGATGGGGAGAGGGGTGGAAGTGTTAAAGAGGAAGGGGCATTAGGGTCCTGATGGGTGGTGGTGGGGCTGAAATTATGTGCACAATAACCATTATTAATGGTGTTGTAAAATACAGATCTCAATCTATGGAAAAAATTTTTTTAAAAATTAAGGAAAAAAAATCCTTTGTTTAGGTGCCAGAGAAATAATTTAGGGGTTTAACACCACTAGGTACCTCACAGTGAAATTCCAGGCCTGGTGAGGCGGCCAGGTTTCCTAAGCACTGCTTAGAATGCCACATCCCCTGCCTCCCAAAAGAAAGAAATCTTTGCTTGGATACCAGTGGACTTCTTACTGCTTATTGTTCCTCTCCTTTCTACACTTAAGACTGTCCTTCCTCCTGTGAACACTTTTGATTTTTGGCCACATCCAACAGTGCTCAGAAAATTACTCCTGACTCTGCACTCAGGAATTACTCCTGGTGGGCTTAGGGAACTGTAGGGGGTCCCAGGGACCAAATTTGGGTTGGCCATGTTCAAGACAAGTGCCCTACCTGCTGTTTTACTACTCTAGCTCCTGACCTGCAATTTTCTCCCCCCCGCCCTTTTAACTTTTTTTATTGAATCACTGTGATAGACCCTTACAAAGCTGTTCATGATTGGATTTCTATCATAGTGTTCCAACATACGTCCATCCACCAGTGTACATTTCTCGGCCCCTCATCCCCTGCCTGCCTCTGTGACAGACATTTTTCTCTCTGTCATTCTTTCCGTCTCTGTCTCTCTCTCTGTGTCTCCCTCCCCCTCCCCCCTTGTTGGGCATCGTGGTTTGCTATGTTGATACTGAAAGGTTATCAAGAATATCCCTTTCCCTGCTTTTAACCCTCAGTTCTTGTCCAGCATGATTCATTCCCAGCTACTATTGTCAAACCAGGTCTCTTCTCTAGTTTATCAACCCTCAGATGTACACATACTTGTGGTTAGGTCCAACGACTGACCAGTCCTCCTAGCCAGTGTTTTCCCTTGCCATAGATGATAGTCTTCTACTATATATTTTTTTAATATACCACAAATGAATTCAGGCATTCTATACTTATCTCTCTCATTCTGACTCATTTTACTCAGCATGATACTCTCAGTGTCCATAGAGGCAAATTTATGACTTCATTTTTCGTAACAGCTGCATAGTATTCCATTATGTAGATGTGCCATAGTTTCTTTATCCATTCATCTGTTCTTTGGGCACTCAGGTTGTTTCCAGATTCTTGCTATTGTGAACAGTGCAATGAACATAGCAGTGCAAATGAACATAGGAGTGCAGATGGTGTATCTGCAGTGTGTTTTTGGGCCTCTAGGGTATTACTGGTTCAAATGGGAGCTGAATTTTTTTTTTTAGAAACAACCGTATTGTTTTCCAAAAAGGTTGGACCAGTTGGTATTTCCACCAACAATGAAGGAGAGTCCCTTTTTCCCCACATCCACGCCAACACTGGCTGCTTTTGTACTTTTAGATATGTGCCAGTCTCTGTGGTGTGAGATATTTCATTGTTGTTTTGATCTACATCTCTCTGATGGTTAGTGTTGAAGAGCATTTTTTCATGTGCCTTTTGGCCATTTGAATTTCTTCTTTGAGTAAGTTTCTATTCATTTCATCACCTCATTTTCTGATGGGATTGGATTTTTTTTCTTGTAGAGTTCAACCAGTGTCTTGTATATCTTTGATATTAACCCCTTATCAGAATGGTACCGAGTGAATATCCTTTCCCATTCTGTAGGCTATCTTTGTATCCCAGTCACTGTCTATTTTGAAGCGCAGAAGCTTCTTAGTTTAAGACTTAGTTTAAGACACTTGCTTGGTCAGTGGTGTTTCATCTTTGAAGATGCCTTTAGCTTCAACATTGTGGTTTTGCCAACCTTTTCTTCCAAGTACTTTATGGATTCTGGTCTGATGTTGAGGTCTTTAATCCATTTTGATCTGACTTTTGTGCATAGTGTTAGGCAGAGGTCTGAGCCCGTTTTTTTTGCATGTAGCTGTCCAGTTTTGCCAGCACCACTTGTTAAAGAGGCTTTCCTTGCTCCACTTTATATTTATTGTTCCCTTATCAAAGATTAAATTATCATATATTTGAGGGTGTGTGTAAAGATATTCAACCCTACTTCATTGGTCTGTGGATCTGCCTTTGTTCCAATACCATGCTGTTTTAATTATTATCATTTTGTAGTACAGTTTGAGGCTGGGGAAGGTGATGCTTCCCATCTCCCCCCCCCCCCCCCCCCCACACACACACACACTCCCAAGAATTGCTTTAGCTATTCGTGGATGCTTATTGTTCCATATGAATTTCAGGAGTGTTTGATCAATTTCTTTGAAAAATGTCATGGGTATCCCTATAGGAATCGCCCTGAATCTGTATAATGCTTTGGGCAGTATTGTCATTTTGACAATGTTAATTCTCCCAATCCATAAGCAGGAGATGTGTTTCCATTTCCTCATGTTCTCTTTCATTTATTTAAGTAGCTTTTTATAGTTTTTGGTCCCTTACCTCCTTAGGTAAGCTGATTCCTAGATAACTGATTTTCTGAGGCATGATTGTGAATGGGACTGTGTTTTTTTAAAATATCATTTTCTTCTCTTTCATTATTTGTATATAGGAAAGCCAGGGACTTTTGGGTATTGATTTTACAGCCTGTGACTTTACCATACAAGTCTATTGTTTCTAGTAGCTTTAGGGTTCTCCAAGTATAGTACTGTGTCATCTGCAAACAGTGAGTGCTTGATTTCTTCCTTTCCTTTCTGATGACCTTGTAATATCTTTTTGTTCCCTAACCACTATGGCAAGTACTTCCAGTATGACCTGAAATTTTCTATGTAGCCTTACGCCAAGCTCTATCCTAGGCAGTCTAATTTTTTCCCACTTAACAATATGCTCAACCATTCTTTACCATCTTTGAGACGATCTTCCAAACCCACTTTTGTACACCAAACCTACTTCTCTCTGTGATCCACATTTTAAGATTTTACCAAAGTGCCTGCACAGGTAACAAAGCTTTCTAAAGTTCTCTTTCCCTTAGAACTCCTCTGTAAATCTCATACCCACTTTCAATCTCCAATTAAACTTTGTATTTCTTGTTCCTTTTCTTCATCTTAAAATTATTATCTTAACTACGTCTCATATGCTACAGCCTCATTTCCATTTGTAGCACCACACATTTTTTCACCTGTACTTGGAATCTAGGATTGATGAGACTCTTTCACTGTAACCTTCTCTCCCTCTCTCCACATTTCTAACCAGAGTCTTACATATTACTAATCTTACCCTTTTTTGAAAGCAGGTTCTTTAATTATATAGCTATATTCCAACTGTCCTTTCTCACTCTATCAAGTCAAAAAATCCCTCCTCTTTCCTCAAATCTTTTCACTTCTGTCACTTTTCCTATGTTAGCTTAGGTTCCTACAACACTTTGCATCTTTGAAGGAACTAGGGAGAATCTAATGAAAAACGTTCCTGGAAAACCTGAGAAAGATCAGGTGAAATTTAGCATCTCCATGTGACTTTCTCAAACACTGAATGTAGGGAAGTCCTTGCCAATGTAAGCGCATAAAGAATATGCCTTAGATAAAATGACTTTATTGTAACAACTAACATCGTAAGCAAATAAGTACTCACCCTTGAGGAATTCTTGCTCCAAGGTTAGGTGGAGAGTTGGCAGCTTGAGGAGTACTCTGCTGTCTTAGGTCCTTACTAGGTGGAGTTGCTGCAGTACAGCCAAGAAGGATCTCCTTAAACACTGTTGTGGGAACTGACTGTACAGGACACACACTGGGAGAGGCCTAAAAGATACCAAATCAACAAATATTAAAAAGTCCCTAGAATTGGGAAACAATGAACTATTAGCAAGATCCAAATTTAATTGCTTGGTTCATTACAATAGAGACATTAAGACCGCCACCAAATAAAAAAGCATTATAACAAGTGATAAAAATTACAAAATTAAGGACTTTTGGAGGTTGATAAATCAGTCTATTTTCTTGGTCCTCCCACAAGGACTTGAAATACACACCTTTTATGTATTTCAAATTATGGCACCAAAACAGTGCAGTCACATGGTAATAATTTTAATAATACAATGCACAGACATGAGCTTTTTAAATTGAGTTTTCAAATGGTGGCAGCTTTACACATTCAGCTTAACATTACTGAACACCCACCACACACTTACTGCATAAACTGGACCAGATCACATAACTCAAATAGGCAGTGGAGCCTATTGGGTACTAAGATAAACCTTTACAATGCAATAATGGTTGACACAGTTCTTGTTCTTCTGTAACTCAGAGAGTCACATGGTTATCTCAAGCTGCAAAAAATATCAAATTGGGGTTGAATTGGTTAACACAGGGTTTAAGGCACTTGGCCTTGAATGTGGCCAATCCTACTTCAATCCCTGGCACTTCATGTGGTTCCCCTCAGCCTAAAGCCAGAAGCAGCCCCAAATCCTCCCCTAAGTAACAGGTCACAATAGGCCTGTGATTAAATGGGAAAACTGTCTATCTCATATAGTTTCACCTTTAGAAAAGTGCAAATAATGCGGGCTGGAGAGACAGTACAGGGGTTAAGATGTATGCCTTATAGCAGCTGACCCTAGTTTAATCTCTGGCACTATGGTTCCCCACTGAGCATCAATGGTGTAGCCCTATAGAGTCCCCCTGTGCACTGCTGAGTATAGCACTGTGTAATACTGGCCCAGTAAATTCCGGGCATCACAGGGCCCATGCAGCACTGCATCTTCAAGCCTTCATATGAAATTGGTTGACTGAGTATTATTACCAGGAGGGACCCCATGCCTTCTGAGCACAGCTTGGGAGGCACCACCACCACCAAAATTTAAAAAAAAAACAAACAATGAGCCCACTATTACCTATCAACAAAAAAACCCCTCACCATGGAAATTCTCACCATGGGGGAAAAAAAAGAAAAAGATATCTCATCTCCAGATAACTAGACTTTGACAAGACAGGTGAAAACAATTCCTATCTTCATAAGCCTCTTCATATGTGACTTAAACTTTAGGTCTTTCTCATATCTTTCTCAGCCTTTCCCTTTCACCTCACTATGAACTGTACATACATCATACCACTAATCTAAACTTAAAGATTCCTCAGTTCCCTTATTTACAAGTTATTAATATCTAAAGCTCTAAGGAATTTTTTTGTATTTCTAATTTCAAAACTTCACCATTCTGAATATAAATGTAGCCTATTCATAAATCTTTACCTCAGACATTTATTCTAGCAGTCTTGAGAAGACTCTCAATTGTGTGCTAAACAGAAATATCTGACAAATAACCTATTCATTATCAAAGCTTTGGTAAAGCTTCAAACTCTTAGTACCCAAGCAACCTGACCATACTCCTCTAGTCAACTTTAACTAAATATTAGCTGAGTGTTCCCCAGAAGGATTGTGGGGGAGAAGGTTTTGGCTATTCCAAGAATAACTCGGAGACTTTGTATCTCTGGCACTTAATTTTATAATCTTTAAAATGAGAAAATTAGAAGTTTGTTTCTAAATTTTTTTTAACTTTCCCTTATTCTCAGCTAATTATCTATTGTCAGTTCATTTTAAATTGCTTATTCAAGATATAGTTTTATCAAGCACATTCCCTCATACCATTTTCCTTATCTCATGTATTGAGAGTTGATACTCTCTAATCCCTTTCCTTAAATTACATTGCTAGAATGAGGTACCCAAAGAAATTGAGATTTCAAAAGGCTTTAAGTTTTTACTCTGTACACATATCAAACTGCTTTAAAAAGAAAAAAAAAATCCCTCCATCCTGGGTCTCAAATGTAACTCAATAGTAGAACATAGGCTTCAGTTGAATGAAGCCCTGGATAAAATTCCCAACATCCCAAAACAAAAACAAAATCATACACAATAAAAAGAAAAAAACCTCTGTCCAATTAGTGAGCCAGTAAATCCTGCCTATATTTCTTGATTCTATTAAGATATTTCCACTACCACTATCTTTCCCCTAGACTACTGTTTCCTAACTGGCCTAACTTCCTTCCACTTTAACCTGAACCTACTACCTTCTACCCAAAATTTATCCTACAACAAAGCAAATGTTTTAAAAATGTTAATCAACCAAACTATGACAATTCACTGCCTACAGGAAATCTTTGTGGTCTGGTTTCTGCAAACATTCTCCATTTATCTCAATTCACTCCACTTGCTCAGTGCTCCAACTATACTAACTTCCTTTCTGGCCATTAAAATATCCTATATTCTTTCTTGTCTGTGTCTATGTACATGATAAGCTCTGTCAGGATAGTTTCCACATGGCTTGCTGTTGCCATCTTTTCACCCTCAACCACCACCTTAGAATTTCTGATCCCTTTCCAATGCAGTGACCACAAGCCACCAACTTACTCTATGATAGTCATGCATGTATCTTTCACTGCATTATCATGCTATAAAAATGCCTTTCTTTAAATCAATTATTATCAATTTCCTCACAATAATATGTATACCTATAGGAAGAGAACACCTTTTGTGTCTACTGTTACACAATCTAGAACCAGACACATAGTAGATGTTCAATACAGATTATTATAGGATATGAAAACGATTAGCTCTTAATATTTAAAAATAACTATAAATATTATGAGTTATGGCAAGTCAGGTAGTAATGTCCACCCATACCTAGCACATACTATTCAATAAATATATATTGGAAGAAAGGATGACGGGAAAGAGAGGAGGAGGATTCTTCTGTTTTTACAATGAAAACTGATGCTCACCATACCAAGGAAAATATTGAATAGCAGCAGCAAAACTACTCTGTAGTTAAGAAATTGGGTTTGGTTTTAAACTCACTCTTTCACACTTCCCTAGCACATTATTCTACTTCTCTAAGTTTCACATTCCTGGTTTCTAAACGGTGAAGCATACTTTTTACGTGTATTTTTACCACAGGGCCTGGCCCAAAGATCAGCTGTCTCATAGCTGAAAAATTTCTCAGCTTGGTCACATGTTATGATTAGCATCATTTAAGGTGCTTTACTTAAGGAAACTGAAGTATATCAGCACATAAGAAACTGAAATAAATGACCACAACTTTCAAAAAAACTTCAAAAAAGGTAGGGCTCAAATTCCAAAACTCATCTTCATGTGCTCACTACTGCACTAGTCTCTGACTTGACAGGGGTCAAAGTTTCTTCTTACCTGAACAGTTTTCCCTGAAGGTCTTCTATACCAGTCATGGCAATAGTTCCTCCCTGCCAGCAGACGAAGATAATATAATTGAGTGTATGATGATTTTTCTAAAGACACTGCTTGCTCACACTCCTGAGCACAGCAATGTCCTAAACTGATGCAATGGTCTGCTAGGCAGAGAAGACCTTCAAGAAGCCATGTTACTGAAAAGAAAAAAAGCTTACCTTACCCAAAAGTATGCCTCAAGGCAATCAAGAGTCTCATCTACCTAATCACAAAGCCCTGTCATCCAGCAACCACTGTAAAAGTAAACACTGTGCAACACATCTGGGTAGTGCAAATACATTCAGGTGTGTGCATTGTGCTGCTGTACTCACCTTTCACTTATATTTCTTTCCCTGCCCTCCCTTTACTTCTAAAATATCTTAAATTCTACACTAGGTTTATATAACCAAAACTTAATCTAAGTGTAATCCAGGATAACGAAGAAATTTATTCATTACAGAAAAATAATCACAAGTACCCATGGAGTCAGGGATTTGTGAACTCCCCCCATTGCCCTGTTTTTCCAGGAGACTGGCCATGAACTGCCCATGAACTGCCTCTAGCAACAAATAAGCTCATTAACCAGCCATAACACAGAGACTCATAAAGAAATCTCAGAAGAGACCATGACTGAAATCTCCAAGCTTGCTCGAAGCAATGGGTCTTCTCCCCGCATCTCCCAAGTTTGCCAGTAGCTTGGCAGTTACACCCACAAAAATGCCCCCTGGCACCATATAATCTCATCAACAGCCAAGATCCAGAGACTCAGAACTAAAGCTCCCAAAAGAGAGCATAACAGGCCTCACCCGTGAGTGAATCTGCTATATAGTTGTTAAATTTTAGAATTTCTGGACCTCTCATACTCTACAACGCTGATGTACCAAGCTTTGGAAATCACGATATGGGATTTGGGGTGGAACCATTCAAAATATGGTGGTGGGAAGGTGCAATAGTGGTGGTGTCTGAATATTAAATGTAATAGTAAATGTAACAAATGGTGTTTGAATATTGAATGTAATAAATTATCATGAACAACTTTATAAAAATCGATTTAAAAAAATAAAAAAAGAAATCTCAGAAGAGATCAGCAATCTGCAGAGATGCTTCTGGACTCCAAAGTCACCATGCAGTTAACTCCAGCTGTATCACTCCATCAAAATTTTAGAATTCCTGGAGCAACATCTCAAACTCTACACCACTGATATACAGGAATAGCACACCACATTGGATGGGATGTAAAGTCCAAGGCACCAATCTCAAGAAAATGTGAAAACACAAGGCTTACCCTGTACCAACAGGTTAGTTATCTCTTATGCGAGAACTTAATGGCTCCAGAGTGAGATACAAAAATTTTCACATAATTTCTTCTAAGGAAATCTTTTTTGATCATTTTTAGAGAATTAACTGTAACAAACAATACAAACTAAATCATTTTGGGCCTGCTATTGGGGTAGGCTTGGATGGTGGTTAGGAAAACAAGAAATAATGGTGGCAGGATTGGTGTTGGAATATTGGAAGTAATAAATCACTGTAAACAATTTTATAAAAATTACAATTTAAAAAAGAAAAAGAATCACAAGATACTGTAAAGAATCAGGATACAGAAGTGTGTTCTGTTCTTAAAAAATGAAAGAAAAGATTTTCACCAAGAAATATTTTTTTTTTTAAGGCAGGAAAGCTATTCCAAAATAGCGAGAATCTCAGATATATGATTGTAAGTAACACTTCCTTTCTTCACAGTATTTTTCAGATTAACCAACCATTTTAAAGAAAGAATGCCATAAAAAAAATACCAACTCTAAAACTACTGAGGTAAAAAATAAATCTACCATCTCCAACTTCCTCTAGGATGAGAAGATAACTAGTTAACTACAACACAACTTAACAATTGAAACAAACTTATTTAAGATATTACAGATTCTCATTTTCAATACAGGAATTATGGCTTTAAAAAGTTAAGGGCCTTATCCCACAGCCAAAGTTCAGAGATTTACCATTACTTATTATTTCAAAAGCTTCTAGTGTGCCCAACAATCAGCTCAGTAGCACAAACCTATTGAGCTGGATATGCTGACAAAAAAAAAAGACGTGCTCCCTGCCCTTCAACTGGTGAGTCAGGTAGAGATAATCACATGTACATACAACACTTTACAAGCACCTCCTTGAAGGTTATAAATTTATGTGCACAATACCTATAACCTTGCTGGAAAACTTGGCACTTGGAAGAACAGGCATCTTCCCCCAGACGTCCCCACTGACCCTAATTTGTAACCCTGGTTGATTCCATTAGTGCTATTTCCTCTCCTCAGTCCCTCTCCCCAACAAAAAAATCACATGGCTTCTCCTCCTAATCAGACCATTTCATTAACATAATCACCAATCAACCTGTCCAAAATGGACTTTACTACATCTTTCCTCTTAAATTACTAACAATGCATGCAATGCCAAAGCCTGACAGGTTATTCTTCTCTTCTGCTTCTCTCTACCTTCTTATACAGCGGACTGTCTAATAATATCTTCTAGAAGTTTAGCTACAAGATACAATTACTTTCCAGACATCTTTAGTAGTTCGTAATATATTACTTTCCTTTGTACATTTAAAGGCAAAACATGAAAAACAGTAATACTAGGTTCCATAATTAACTTATTTTTTCCTAAACAACCTGAGATCAAGCCTACACACCTCTCCAAGGAAGATTCAGTACAGATTCCTTGGTTTATAAAGTATCAAAAGTTCCTGCTGCCTGTATATAAGCTAAAGACCAAAGAAAACCAATAAACAAAGGTGGTCAAATTCTTAAGTATTTGTGTTACACAGCTCTTGCTGAGGTTCCAGCTAATATTATAGTCTAGTCTGACCTGTTTGAGAAACCTAGATTCATAAATTGACCCTGGTCTATTTCCAAGCTTTGCCTTGAGCATCCAGAACAACATTCCTTCTAAAATGCTGTACACAATCTTAAAAATATCAACTTAACCAATTAAAACATTCCACCCTAGAGCAAAATATCATAAGGTATTTCTGATAATTATAAAACAGGATAGCAAACATGCGATAAAAGTACATTTGGATACTTAAAAACTGTGTTATTTATACTATAACAAGTCCTGATTAACTGAAAATTTACAAAGGGTAAGGTGCTTGTCTTGCACACGAACTACATGGATTCAATTTCCAGCATCCCATATGGCCCCCTGAGTAATTCCTGAGTGCAGTGTAAGGAGTAACCCTAGAGCACGCCCCCCAAATAAGATTTGCCAAAATATACACTGTAGCAGTTCAGAGAGAAATTCAACTAAAGAGAAACTAGTCTTTAGTCCAAATCCTAACCATTGCGTAATTAAAAATAGCACTTGAAACTAAAAGTGGCATGGATAGAAAGCCAGCTGGGAAGGAATTATGACAGACCAACCTCTTTCTTGAAAAAATTATCATGTTTCCCAATCATAAACAACTGATCAAATCTTTATTACTGAACAGGTAGCAGTTTATTTGAACACCAAATCTTCTGAGAATTCTATGGTTCCTCCCCTCTTCTTAAGCCAGGTACTCTTCCATTTTGACCCAAAATTTACCTTCAAAAATTCCTCCCTCTGATAAAATTATCAAGTCTATTTAGAAGATTTCAGCAAACATCAAAAAACAAAACGTTTTTATACAAAAATATTAAGACAGAAACTTATATTATCTCCATTTGTTTGAGAGTACAAATTATGGCCAAGATATAAACTAGAAAAGAGGAACAGATCACACAGTACAGAAGAGCAGAGCGGACAGATTTATAACCATTAAACAAACTTGTCACACACTGTTAAAGAGTTAAATAAGGGTTAAGAAAAGTTTTATGTAAGAGACAAAAAATAAGTTTACCTCGGAGCAAGATTTTGCTTGTTTGGAAACCAAATTTCCATTATTCTCAGAAGATTTGCGTTTTACAGTTCCAATTCTTGTAGAATTACCTAAAATATTTAAAACTAGGTAAGCTGACTTCCGAGTTTCTTTTAAACATGAGAATAAAGGAGAAAAAAGGAGGGTGGGAAGGCAAGAGGGCAAGGAGGTAGAGTTGTAGGGAGGGAGATTTTAATCAAACAACAAATCTTACCACATGTCATGAAATTATCATGGACAACTTCAACATGGATTAGTGATGGATCAACAATTTTCAGGGCTGGAATCTTAAAAGAATTACTAAAGATTAAAAAATGCTCAGGAACATGCCAAAAATCAGCAAAAAAAGTATCATACAAAAAATTTCTTTAATGATATTTCCTTTATCCCAACATTTCAGTGAACAATAAAAAACTAACTTCTATATGATATATTATCACTTTTGTAATTACATTCCCCCTATCAAATTATCTTATACAATGGTCACCATCTTTACCTCCTCACAATTGACTTGAAGAGTTTTTGATGCAGGGTTGCCATTTACAATGGTTGCAGAAAACCACTGAGTAGAAGGGTCCAAGCTATAAATTTTTACTTCAGAACCAACCAAGTTTTTGTCACCTAAAAAAAAAAAAATCTTACAGTGACTTGCATTATTTTTCAAGAGCAACGAAAGATTATATATATAGCACTGTCGTCCCGATGTTCATCGATTTCAAGTGGGCACCAGTAACATCTCCATTGTGAGACTTGTTGTTACTGTTTTTGGCAAGGCAAATGTCCTACTTGCTATCCTATCGCTCCAGTCCAACAAAAGATTATCTAGGATAATATTTTTAAATGCTATACACAACACCACTAAACATTGAAAAGTAGTATAAGATGATGGACCTCTTAGCAAAGGTAGGAGAAAATGTGTGTGTGTGTGTGTGTGTGTGTGTGTGTGTGTGTGTGTGTGTGTAGGCCAAACCCAGCAGTGCTGGGTAGGGTCAAGACATAGTAAATACAAGAGGAAGAGCAGAGAAGGAACATGCAGGGCCAGATTATCAAACTCAGGGCTTTAATATCTAAGGCATGTTACCATTTGAGCTATCTCTCGATATTTTAAAATTTCATTTGACTTCTGTTTTATTTTAGAGTGACAATGTATTTATTCTGGTATTGGGATCAGACAAAGTAGTATCAGATAACTAATTTTTACCTAATTCATGGTCCTATGCAATTTCAGATAATCCCAATTCAGGAATCCCACAGAAATGTTTAACTTAATGAAACATTGGTAATTGAGAAACTGGTCAAGAAACTGACAAATTCTAAATAAGGATAGATAGGGATTATCAAATTAGTGTCTTATCAGTGTTTGACTAAAATTCTAAATGTATCAAATTCCATGTCTAAAAGAAAAACACATACACACACACACACACACACATATTTTAATATGCTCCAAACATGAACCAGCTCTGGCCAACAACCCAGGCATCAAGATAAGATGAATGAGGGACCAGCTGTTTTACCCCTAACTGATATAAGAGCAATACCACTGACAAGGTGTCTCATTGTCCATTGCCAGGGTTAAAGATAAGCTTTTAAAATATGTATTATAGTTTTCACATAATCCCCAGATTTTCCCAATTTCAGAAATCTTAGACTATGATATATATCATCAAACTCCCTGGAGAAGGCAGGAAAGGAATTTCTAAAAATTTAAAAATTTTAATAAGTGAACAAGAATGATGGGAACAGTTTCATCAGTCAAATAATGCAGTACTCTACATGCCTTGTAAAAGATGACTTTCATCCAAATGTTTCATAATCAAAGCCTGAAATTCTTTACTGACATTCTGATTATCCATAAGAGAAAGTCGAAGATTGTTTACATCCTGAAAAATGAAAAAATGAAATATCATTACATTTTAAGGGAACTGTGAACTCATGTTCAAAGCACAGTAACTCAAAGCTTAACAAATTTTGTATTTAATTTTGTATTTTCTCACAAAGATACATCAGTCTTTTTGCATTTAGAAACTCTAGAATACTGGGGGTATGGTGCCGCCAGCAGGTCAATCTGTACCTGTGAAGCGAGTGCATCAGCAGCCTCATGGCGCCTTCAGACTTCCAGATACCCCAAAATTGCTGCTGTGCCTTTGGCCAGATCCCAAAAACTTGGGGCAAAGTTTACCAAGAAAGTAAACGGCCAAAAGTTAGGTATGTGGGAAACACACCCACAAACCACCTCCGGCTCAACTATAAAATTGGAGGCAAGGCCTCTCTGGTTCCTGAATGAACTGCTTAATGGACATGATCCCAGAGACTCAGAAATAAATCTCAGAACCCAGTGGCTTTAGGTAGAAATGCGTCTGGTCTCTGCAGTAGGCTACCGGTGCTGGGCCAACCCAGGTGGGGATAGGTTTCGTGCCTTGGCCTATTCCCCCTGGCGGCCCAGTGGCCGCCATCCGTCTAAGGCCACTGGATAGTCACATTTGGGCCCCCAGTGACGAGACACACAGGGCCTCACGGGATGAGGGTGGATCCGGGCTTGTCCTCCCCACCCCAACGAGACCCCAAGTCATCGCCCACAAATGGCCTCTCTGGCTCCTGATCAAGCTGCTTAACGGCCATGATCCCAGAGACTCAGAAACAAATCTCGAAACCCAGTGGCGTTTGGCAGAAATGCATCCGGACTCCACAGTACGTTACTGTTGCCGGGCCACCCCAGGGAGGAAAGGGTGTTGTCCCTCCGCCTGCTCCCTCTTGGCGACTTGGTGGCTGTCATTCTCCAGAGGCCATTGGACAGTCAGGCTTGGGCCCGCAGTGACAAAACTTGTTGGGTCTCACGGGATGGGGGGGAGGTGGAGCCGGGCCTGTCCTCCCCTCCCTAACGAGACCCCAAGTCATCGCCCACAAATGGCCTCTCTGGCTCCTCATCAAGCTGCTAAATGGCCTTGATCCCAGAGACTCAGAAACAAATCTCGAAACCCAGCGGCTTTTGTCAGAAATGTGTCCGGACCCCGCAGTAGGTTACTGTCACTGGGCCACCCCAGGGGGGAATGGGTGCTGTCCCTCCGCCTGCTCCCTCTTGGTGACTTGGTGGCTGTCATCCTCCAGAGGTCATTGGACAGTCAGGCTTGGGCCCGCAGTGACGAAACTTGTTGGGTGTCATGGGATGGGAGGGGGGAGGTGGAGCCGGGCCTGTCCTCCCCACCCCCAATGAGACCCCAAGTCATCGCCTGCGAATGGCCTCTTTGGCTCCTCATCAAGCTGTTCAACGGCCATGATCCCAGAGACTCAGGAGCAGATCTCTAAACCCAGTGGCTTTTGGCAGAAATCCCTCCAGATTTAAGTGTTAAAATTTCAGAACTTCAAAACCACACGGCCCTACTGCAGCCACATGACATCATGTTAGTCATAACCAGCAATAGAACACAAATTGTCTACTGTTGCCTTTTCAGCAGATCTGAGTGTTGGGGTAAATCTCAAATAATAATGGTGGGCCTGGTGTCGAAATATTGAATGTGATCAAAGTAGAGAGAGAGAGAGTAATGTGGAGATCATCTGCCCCACAGGCAGGGGGAGGGTATGGGATGGGGGTATACTGGGGGTTTTGGGGGTGGAAAATGGGCACTGGTGAAGGTACGGGTGTTTCATTGTATGACCGAGACTTAGACCCAAAAGCTTTGTAACTGCTCTCACGGTGATTCAATAAATAAAATTATAAAAAATGGAAAAAGAAAAAAAAAAGTAAGGTGGAGTTCATGCACAATTCAATCAGCTAATCAGTGGCTGAATAAATAGCAGTACTCCTACAAAAAGAGAAAAAAAAAAGAAACTCTAGAATACTTCAGTACTATTCTGAGGGTCCATTTTAAAGTGTAATCACCAACAAAAATAATAAAAATGACACTAAAAGAACATTTATCTGTGAACTTAATTTTTTGTCCCTCTGTACACATCTGCAGATGATGATAAAAACAGCAAATTATTAATTTTGAAGTTAAAAATTTTAGTAAATAGATTTATTCACAATATAGAATCCTTGCATAAGGATTGGTACCTATTAGTATATATGCCTACATGTATACAGTCTAACCTTCTAAAAATTATTTTCATATCCCCTAACTGTTTTCATGTATACACATCTCATCAACTATAGTAACTTTGTCTTTTCAACCTCAAACAGTAGCATTAATTCAATGTCTAGCACAGAGGAAAATATGAAAGATTCTTCTCTGTTAGCTATCTGAATGAACAACAACATTCTTAACATTCTTAATTCTTAGTTCTTATATTAAATAATTCTGCATTTCTATTTTTATAATGTAATATTATTTCTGTTTTACCTGTATAGGCTTCAAAAGATCTTTAGAAAGAAATATTTTTTGCTGATCTCCTAAAAAACGAATAGAAGTTATGGATCCCAAGCCAGCTGTGTCCAACAGAGGTTTGTACATCTAAAAAATAAATTTAAAAAAAGTTTTGGCATTATAGCTCTCAACATAAATCTTAAAATGGGACAATTTTTCAAATACACAAAAAGATAAAAAGCCATTATATTTTATAGTTTCTGCAAGTATAAAACTTTGGGACCACCAAAAGATTCAATGTCAGTAATTTAAATCAAATTTATGACCCTGGGTAACTAATTAACATATAGATTTGTGTGCAAAATGCAAAGTTGTATGTATATTTTTGAGGAAAAAGAGTCTTGTTTTTTCTCAGACAATTTTTTGTTTGTTTGGGTTTTCTTTGGAGGCACACCCAGCTGTGCTCAGGCTTACTTCTGGCTCCGCACTCAGGAATCACTCCCGGAGGGGGTCAGGGAACCATATGAGCTGCCAGGAATCAAACCTGTGTCAGCCACATGCAAGGCAAAGACCCCACCTGATGGGTTATTTCTCTGACTCCTCTTTAGAAAATTCTTAATTCTGTTAACAGTATTCTTAAAGGAAGGAAAATACAAAAAGCAAAATAGAACTTTAAGCAAGACCCTTTATCACTCAAAAACCTCCAGCAGCCCTATGACCCACAGGTAAAATGCTAACTTCACCAGCACAACATCTAAGGCCCTCCAACTATATGTCAGATGTTCAATCATCTTCATTACCTTTCCAATGACCCCAATCTAGGCCTTATTCCTTTTAAGCCCCAGCTCATTTTTATAAGATGTGTCCTTTCAGATACAGTGTCACTCTTCCCTCTAAATGTACTAGATTTAAAAATGTGGTGATGGCATACCCCACATGCTGCTACTATCCTTAAGTCAAGTAACATTCTGTATGATAGGGACCCTTAGAGATAATCAGACCAAAACAAGAAACCCTTAAGGGGCCAAGCAACAGCTACTATCCAGTTTCATCCTATTGTCGCAATAAAGAACAGACATCAAAGATTTGGTGTTGACCTTTCTCGCTTTTATTTTTTTCCAAGAGAAACTAGAAATGTAGGTACTCTTTTCATTTTGTTTTTTAATAGTTTTTTACCCAGCAAAGCTCAGGGGTTACTCCTGGCTCTGCATTCAGGAATCAATTCTGGTGTTCAGAGAACCATACAAGATGCCATGCATTGGACCTGGGTTGGGTGCATATAAGGCTAGCACCCTACTCACTGTACTATCTCTCCAGCCACCCTCCTGTTTTAAAAAGTAAACAATGAATTCAAACTTTCTTATAATACTATGGAAATCATAGAAAATAGATCTGTGTCTCTATATATGTCTGCTGGTTTCTGATCTCTAACCTAGACATAATTCAAGTTACATTCACTACCACATTTCACATGAAGAAACTGGAACATAAAAATGTCAAGGTCTTTGAGCTGAAGAGCTCCAGAAGAGAGCAGAAACAAGATTCTGGATGGTCTTCTACTCCTCTATATTACAGTGTAGAGTTATTTTTCAGAGAATTAAATGCAAACACTATATATACATTCTTCATTGTTTCATAATTCCTTTTAAGCCCCATGAGAAGAATTCTCTTCTCATGAATTTAGTGAAACTTTTAAAACTAAGTAAATTGTTCATAAATCAAAGTTTTACTCACTATGGCAGGCCACTGAACTATTCGTTCACAAATTTCAGGAGAATTTCGCTCAGCCAAAACCAAGTTATGTTCCACTAAAAATGCTCTTCTTAGATGGCTGTAGACTTCTATCCATCTTCTCTTCCTCCAAGATTCCCCATCAAACTCCACACATACCTACAGATACAATTTAAAAATAAATTTGATTAAATAAATTAGCATGAAAAATGCCCTGCTAAATTAAACCTTTATAATTTCACAAGAATTTTATCCGAATGTGCTGTGCCCCTTCTGTTGCTCTCTTCCTTCTCTTCACAGACATAATAAACTATTAGCCATGAATCAACTTGACCCCCAAACCACTTTTTAAAGGTAAAAGGCTCAAAAGAACTAGTCTCAGCCCACAAAGTAATCTCTGAGAATTCCATAAAGCAAAGAACCCTTATGTTGAAGGCTTTTACATAATCAGAGAGCAGAACCTGAAGAACAGAGAAACTTGAAATACAAAAAAAGTAGCTACTTCATGACACTCTGTGAACTTAACACCCAATCACCACAATCTACCACTTATCTTTTAATTCCTGTTATAGAAAGCCCAGTAAGGGTACCTCTTCAAATATTCCTTTCAGCTTAATAAACTTGGAAAAAATAACCTATCTAAAGCTACTTAGCTTTTGTATCTCTGAATTATCACTTTACAATTGCAAAACTTTCTTCTTCTGACATTCAAAATACATTTTGTTTTGCTTTATTTGTTTTTTGCTTTCTGAGTCACCCCTGGTGATGCTCAGGGGTTACTCCTGGTGCTGCACTCAGGAATTACTTCTGGTGGTGCTCAGGGGACAATACGTGATGCCAGGGATGGAAGCTGAGTACGCTGTGAGCAAGGCAAATGTACTACCATTGTACTACCACTCTGACTCCTCAAAGTAACTTTAAAACAAGTATCTGTTTCGTGGGAAAAAAACCCCCACAATTTGTATATATACTTTATGACACTGATGACACTGTCCTTCCGTTGTTCATCGATTTTCTCAAGCGGGCCCAGTAACATCTCCATTGTGAGACTTTGTTGTTACTGTGTCTGGCATATCGAATACGTCACGGGGAGCTTGCCAGGCTCTGCCGTGTGGGTGAGATACTCTCGGTAGCTTGCCGGGCTCTCCGAGAGGGGTGGAGGAATCGAAACTGTATCGGCCATGTTGGCTGTGTGCAAGGCAAACACCCTACTGCTCTGCTATCGCTCCAGCCCATATATACAGACATAAAAAAATTCAGTCCTATAATGGTTTCTTGACAGGTGTTCTATAACAGGTGTCATGAAAATGCTACCTCTTAATTTACCTTATTCCTTTGGTATGTTTTTAGTATCTTAAAACTTATACAATAAGGTAGCTATGGTAGTTTATTGTATAAGTTTTAAGATGCTAAAAACTAAGTCATGTAGAAAAAATCAATACCTTTAATTTCACAAATTCCACTGAAAGGTCTCTAATTTTTTTCAAAGAAACAGCTAATAAATCAAGTTTTCACATTTCAGACTACCATATTGCCTTTTCCGTTATTAATTCAATTTTTGAAGCTTAATTAGCTTTCATTCAACTGTCACAGCTCTTTAAAAAATGCTTTCCTCAACGAAACCTTCCCTTACCAATAAGAGCCCCCTCAGTCTTAAGAAAGGCTTCCTTTTTAATTGTACTCAAAGTCCTATACTTTTCTTTCTGAGCACTTACCACATTTTGAATTATTTATTTGTAGTTAACTGATTGGCATATTATAAATACTAACAGATCAAAATCTGTCTGCTTTTACTTACCATAGTATTCCACTTATATCCAGTCCCCAGTCAGTACTCAAAAAACTTGTTGAATGAATACATTTCTATAAGGCCCTTACTTTCCTGCTGTTTCTTGCATTATTAAGAAGACCAAGTTCTCTGTTCTTTTCCAATTTCATTAGCTCCAACCTTAAACATTCCGCAGTTTTTTTGCTTATTTTTGTCACATCCTGTGAAGCTCTGGGGAGATACATGGCTCTGTGCTTTGAAGGGTCATTCCTGGTGGTACTTCAAAGGGTGATATGCAGTCTAAACTCCTGTACCCTTTCCCTCCCTCTCCCTCTCTCCGATTCTCTCCCTCTCTCTCTCTCTCTCTCTCTCTCTGCTCCCTAACCTTCTCCAGCCTTATGGCTCTAAAGTATCAATTTTCAAAATTAACTTTAAGACCACCCTATCCTTCCTCTGCAGCAATAAAATATGCATCCCTAACTTTCCAAGCAACTTTCCAACAAGCTGTATATACTTAGCTTTGTATAAAAAGCAATCTTTCAGAATAAGTACAAATATGTAAACAGTTACTATCTGACTCGTAAGACCTCCCGCCTGTACTCTTCTCCTTGGCACTATCATTATAACCCATCAAATGGCCCTTTTCACACAGGTGTTCAGAGATGAGCTATCATCCTTTGTTTGTGAGCCACAAAATTCAGGTCCTCTTACATCCCCTAACTTGGTTTTTCTGCCCCACATGACATCAACCTTAAATTCTACCTAGCTTTCCAGTGATAAGTTTTCCAATTAATGCAATATAACAAAAATGAGCATGTGTGAAAACTATGTCAGAAACAGAGACATCTTGGTTAAAGCTTTCCTTTCATTTTTTTAATTTTTAAAATTTTAACTTTTAATTTGTATTGAATCACCATGAGATAGTTACAAGCTTTTATGTTTGAGTTTCAATCATACAATGATCAAACACCTATCCCTCCACCAGTGCACATTCTCCACCACCAATGTTTCCAGTATAACCCCCCTTTCCAACCTTCCCCCTGCCTCCATGGCCCCCATTCCCTCTCTACTTTGGGGCATTATGGTTTGCAATAGAGATACTGAGAGGTTATCACGTTTGGTCCTATATCTACTTTCAGCACATATCTCCCATCCTGAACAATTCCTCCCAACCATCATTGTCTTAGTGATCCCTTCTATATTCAGGCTCTCTTCTCCTCCAGCTCATGAGACACGCTTCCAACTATAGAGCAATATTCCTGGCCCTTGTGTCTAATATCCTTGGGTATCAGTATATTAAGTTATTTCATATTCTACCAATGAGTGCAGTCCTTCTACATCCGTCCCTCTCTTTCTGACTCATTTCACTTAGCATGATACTCTCCATGTCCGTCCACTTATAAGCATATTTCATGACTTCATCTCTCCTAACAGCTGCATAGTATTCCATTGTGTAGACCTAGCAAAGTTTCTTTAACCAGTCGTCTGTTCTCAGGCACTCGTGTTGTTTCCAGAATCTGGCTATTGTGAACAGTGGGTTAAAGCTATCTTAAAATGATTTTATGCTCATAAAACACATAGAGTTAACAAAGAAAAACAGTTTACCTGTACCCAACATTAAGAACATTGCATCAAAGCTCTCTGAATTTTGTTTTCACAGCTCCATACCTCACTGAATTGTTAGGAAGATTTCAAAAGAGAACTTATAAATTAAGTATAGGGCAAAAAAAGACAAGGCTGTATTAAGAACTCCATGGTAATTCAAATCTTAATTTATCAAGATTATCATTTGTCAGAAGCAATGATTATCATTCATTGGGAATCAGGGAAGAGAGAATCTTTAATAAGATTATCTAACATCTATTCAGCAAAAAAAAAAAAAAAGCTCAAGGATTAAAATTTTAAGTGGTTTCCCAAATTTAAGCAATAACACAGTTCTTACCAGACCACAATCTTTACATAGTTTATTCAATTCTCAATCAAAATAATAAGCTTTTCTTCTATTCAATATTTTATATTGTATTTTAAAATGAAGTTTAGGTTCTTTAAAAAAAGTTTTACTGTGAAAAAAATTAGACTACACTAGTCAAAAATTTTCATTTTTTAATGATCTTTAAAAAAAATGAAACAACTTTGAATTTTCTTCAACATTCTTTCAAAGAATGATGGAGCGATAGCACAGCGGTAGGGCGTTCGCCTTACAAGCGGCCAACATGGCCGACCCGAGTTCGATTCCTCCGTCCCTCTCGGAGAGCCCGGCAAGCTACCGAGAGTATTCGATATGCCAAACACAGTAACAACAAAGTCTCCAATGAAGACGTTACTGGGCCCGCTCGAGCAAATCGACGATCAACGGGAGGGCCTTTACCTTTACCTTTATTCTTTCAAAACTTTTTTTTTCTTTTTGGGTCACACCCGGCGATGCTCAGGGGTTACTCTGGCTCTGCACTCAGGAATCACTCCTGGCGGTGCTCGGGGGGACCACATAGGATGCTGGGAATCAAATTCGGGTCTGCCGCGTGCAAGGCAAACACCCTATCCACTGTGCTATCACTCCAGCCCTCTTTTAAAAATTTTCTATTAAATTTAATGTCTTCAATTTGTGCTTTGATGTATAAGGTTCTATAATGACATCCTTCTACATACACACACACACACACACACACACACACACACACACACACACACCCATGTCTGCAGATATTCACATAGAAAGGCAAAGAGTGAAAGAGTTAAACATGATTTAACCAAGCTCCTGCAGCTGATTAATATAGTCTAAATTGTATTCTCTCCCTATTATCCCTAACAATACTCTCTTGGGTGGAGCAAGTAACAGGGGGGCAAAAGTCCACAAATATGTATGCCTACTCCAAAAATCAAAAACAGACTTGTTAATGAGGTATCATCTCACATCATAAAGACTGGAACACATTCAAAAGAACAAAAGCAACCAGTGTTGGTGTGGATGTGGGGAGAAGGGGACTGACTGCTGGTAGGAATGCCGACTGGTTCAGCCTTTTTGGAAAACAATATGGATGTTTTTCAAAAAACTAGAAATTGGGCTCCCATTTGACCCAGAAATACCACTTCTGGAAATATATCCTGCAGATGCAAAAAAATACAGTAAAAATGACATCTGTACTTGTATATTTATTGCAGCACTATTTACCACAGCCAGAATCTGGAAAAAACCAGAGTGCCCAAGAACAGATGACTGGTTAAAGAAACTGTTACATATACACAATGGAATACTATGCAGCTGTTAGAAAAGATGTAATTTGCATACAAGTGGATCAACATGGAGAGTGTCATGCTAAGTGAAATGACTCAAAGAGAGAGGGTCAGAGAATTACTGCACTCATTTGTGGAATAAAAAGTAACAGAATGGAAGACTAACACCGAAGGATAATAGAAATAAGGGCCAGGAGGACTGCTCCACTGGAAGCCAGTTCCACATGCTGGGGGGGAAAAGGCAGCTGGGATAGAGAAGGGACCACTAAGTGAATGATGCTTGGAGGGCTCGCTTGGGATGAGAGATGCGTGCTAAAAGTAGACTATAGACCAAATATGATGGTCACTTACTTACTACCTGTATTGCAAACCAAAACACCCAAAAGGAGAGAGAGTAAGAGGGAATATGCCTGCCACAGAGGAAGAGGGTGGTAAGGGTGGGGGTTGGGGGAGGAATACTGAGAACATAGGTGGTGGAGAATGGGCACTGGTGGAAGGATGGGTACTCGATCACTGTATGACTGAAACATAAGCATGAAAGTTTGTAAGTCCGTAAGTCCATAACTATCTCACGGTGATTCATTTAAAAATATTTTTTAAAAATTAAAAAAAATTTAAAAATTAACGTGAAGGACTGGGACCCACATATTAATACTTTTATGATACCCCAGTGATTATGATGCTCTTTGGTGAATGAGAGCACCTGGAGTGGAGTAAAACCATTAATTTCACATTCTTTAAAAACAAAAAACAAAGAAACAAAAATGCCAGATTTGTTAATTGTAATTCACTAGAATCTAAAATTTCTAAAGTTTCCTATTCTTTTAATAGGGTACTATGTAGATGCAGATATTAGCACAGCATTTTTCAGATCTTTCTATACCAGCCCATGGACCTGAGGTTGAAGACCACCGCATTAGTGTCTACCAAATATATTTATCTGATGTTGGATATTAGAAATTATTTTGAGCTATTTTTTCCCCAAAAGAAATCCCTGTGACACATGAGTTAATGTTATATTTAAGCTGCTCTCAAAACTTCTCTCAACATTTACTAACCTTACCTGAACATTAATTACAGAAACCAGTAAAATGTTTTCACACTAATAGAACACTTTAGTCAATAAGTATTTACTTGATGCCCAGCACTATAAAATAGAATACTACTTATTATATTAATCCACAATCAATAATTTATGCGTTTATTTTTCCTTTAAAAAAAAAGGCTTATCTAAAACCCCATACTCTGGAATTAAATTATAGAAATTATAGGGAGTCAGGTTTTTGTTAACACTGTGCTAGAGTCTCATATTACAGGGTTTGACTCCTAGCAGAACTCCTAACACTTAAGTTGAAATTGTGTACCAGGATGAAAGACTAGGCATTAGCCAAGGCAGTGAACTGCCCAAAAAGGGCTTTAATAGCAGGAAATGGTACTTATGGAAGGCAAGTACTACTGCTCTACTCAAGACCTTACTAAGCAGCAGAAGAGTCTAGGAAAAGGGTGGGTTGAAAGGAAGGGAAAGTCCTAGACAACCAAGATGGGGGAAAAGGGTATTTCCCTGCGTGCACAATAAAGTCATTTAGGAAGCAATATACCTCACACACAAAATGGGTTTTATTACAGATAAAGAGAATGCTACTGTGTCATTAGTAGAGCATTACTAAACTGCTTTATGTTGTAGAGGAAATTCCTTCATTTATTTATTCAAATATTTTAGTAAAGACTACATATCAAGCAGAGTTCTAGGTGCTGGGACTAATGAGGCCAGCAAAATAAAAAGTGATAATGTCACAACCTACCTGAATACTACCTGCTATTTAAATACTAAAGCTTTTTTGACTACGTCTGGAGAAAATCTTTGGCAACTTATTCAAACTTTTTTGAAGCTCAATTAACAACATTAAAGACTGTTACCATTTGTGGTTTATATCATCTACAATGTCTCTAAGGATTAAACAACTTGCTACATAGTAAGCACTGAATTGTTATTATGTCTTCACTATACTTTCTAATCAACTACTAGAGGTTTATCTGAATTGACTTTGTTAAATGTTACAAGGTTTCTCTTTAGGAGCATGAAAAAGGAACTAGTAAGAGTTAGGGAGGGGGTTAGATCCTGGGCACTACACATGATTCCTGCAAATACACACACAGTTCAGGTGCCCAAATACAGCAACAAAAATTCTCTTTAGTTAAAATTAAAGTTAACAAGCTATAGCCGTATATCCTCAAATAAACAAATTCTTCTAGATTTAAAGTTATTTGTATATTTGAGTTTTACTCACTCACATCCAAGTTGCCAGTTTCATCCTACCCATTAACATTGTCTCTAAAGTTAGGTGTAAGCATGTTAGTTACTTAGTATCTGCTTTCAAATCTCCAAGGACAATTTGCTTCCAGCATTTGAAAATTCTTGTTTTCCTTCTTTTTTATTTTTCTAGCATAATATGCCTCTAAATTTAAGTGAATTATTTCATTTGCTACTAAAGAATGGAGCTATGAATCATTTGAGGGGGGGGAACCAAGTATATCTGCAACTTTCAGGTGGCTGCAGGTAAGGTAAAAATCTGCAAAGCAAAAATGCAATATAATCAAAAATGCTCTTGAAATGAAACCCCTACTACCTTAATTAGGCAATTTAGAACAGTGGGAAAGACACAACCAAACCTAGACAAAGTCTTCTTTCTATCAGATTGATCAGTAGTTATGATGTGAGCCTAAATCACACTTCTTTCCCTAAATCTATTTCCTCTTTCTGAAAATGAAGTTATCACCTCCATCACGACAGGGTCTGGAGAAGGGGGCAAGGTGGAAATTTAAAAGAATGCACAGAACAAGAGTCTCCTAGATTATTTGCCTAACACAACAGGTACTCAATTCCAGTTTCTCATCACCTACCAAAGAACTAAAGACCATAAATCTTCTATCAAATCTTATTTTCATTAAATTATATAACAAAAAATGCACTGGATAAATGTTTACTTGGCATGTGAAACCACAACTATTAATGAAATGAAGTACCCAAAGGCTATTTCATGAGCTTAAGAAGATATCAGCCTAAAGTCAACAATCCCTATAACCACAGTTTCGATGATCAGCAAAACTGGGTTTCCTAGGAAAAGTGAAACAGAAAAGATGAAATCTCATTGTCTGATAGAAGTCCTTTTGTGTCACAACCCTAAATCAGAGAGCAAGATGGCTAGGAGGTGGGTTCAGGACTCAAAACTTCATTACTCAGCTACGGTTAAGTTGCAGGTTCTAACCTTGGCAAGGGTTATGTACTCCATCTCCATCAGTTTCAAGTTTGTATGGAATAAACTAATGGCTGAGACGCTGTGGTTAACTATTCAAAGGTCACTCATTTTGAACATGAAGATAAGGAACACTGTGGAAACTTTAAAAATACACAACGCATCCTTTTCCCACCACCCTTTTCAGACCAATATTGATTTGGACATGTATTTGAACACCTTGTGAGTGTTCAAATGAGCAGTGCTTCAGAATTCAAACGTATTCAGGTGTCAATGCTAAGACTTGCTTTCCTTCTTTGAGTAGTTTTCAGCAGAAATCAATGATAAAATGACCAAAAGAGAATGCTGAAACATATTAACCAGGTTTCCTTCAAGTTATCACCACTTCCGACTGTGCTTAAGAACATTTTCAGTTATGTTTTGCACAAAGGAATTCTTTGTGATACAATGGCTTCCTATTTGTTCCCAGACAATCCTCTCATACCAATCCTTCAATTAGGGAGCACAATCGCAATCTGTCTTTTTGAAAAGCAAAGAGGACTCTGAGTGTCACTCTGATTTAAAAAAATCACTGACCACACTTGTTCCCATTTCTCACCGCCCGCCCCGCCCCCCCAACACCCAAGTGGCAGATTTCCAAGCCAGTCCCCCAACACACCATATAAGGGGCGGCTCCACCCCGGCCCTCCATATATGGCCACATCTTACAACCACCCACAGACTCATCACAGAGAACCAGGAACCCACTCCAGCCCCGACCCACCATATACAGACAAACACCCATTCTCACATGCCAAACAAAACTAAACTCCTCCCTCTACGGCTCCCTTTCATTCCTAGCCCGTCTGAAAGTTTACGAAGTTGGATGGCTACTGGGGGAAAAGAAGGACGAAAGGACTGCACGCACTCCCACCAACCAGTCGCCCTCGATCCGCACCGATTCGGAACGTCACCGCCGGCCCACTTTAGCACGAACAATACACGCCCTGGGAAGAAATCACCGTGCAGCCACACTCGGCACGGCGCCAGCCACCAGGGCGTGCGTTCAACATCGCCACCCCGGGGCCCCCAGCCCATCCTTACGCCCGAGCAGCTCCACACACCCATTTCAAACCCATTTCCCAGCTGGTCGGTCCCCTCCTACCCCGTGCCAACTTTTTGGCCGCCGTTTACCGGGTGTGCGTTGGGGGGCGATGAGGGGGGGTGGGTACTGGCGATCTCGTTACCAAGGTAACTAGGAAACGTCCGACAGCCGTGGCCAGAGCGTCGATTTTTTTTTCTTTTTTTTACCTTCAGATCTTTCTTGGTCACGTCGGTGTGGGACACGGCTCGAATGGTCCCCGAGAGCCAGGGCCACTCGGCGACGCGCTCCACGTCCCAGCTGCCGGGGCCGTCGTCGCTGCCGTCGGCTGCGGACAGACTGAGGAATCGCTTCCCCACCAATACTGGCCAACTTTCCCCGAGCGTGAGCACCATGGTTTCCACGCCTGCAGGAAGGACTCCTCCCTGCAAGAACACAAAAACAAAATGCGGCGGGGCGGCGGGGCGGCGGGCCGACCGCCCGGGGCGGAAGGGGCGTCGGGACCCCGCGCGCCCCAGCGGACCCCGCACGCGCGCGCGCTCCTCCCGCTCCCTCCCGCGCCGCCCCCCACCCCTCCCCGTGCCTCCCCCGCCGCCAGCACCGGCCCCGGCGCCGCGTGACCCTCGCGCTCCCAAGTTTCGCTTTTCCGAAACCTTAAGCCTGGTCGCCGAGGGAGTAAGGAGAAAATGCCTGGCGGCTCCGGGGGGAGTGCGGGCGGATGGGGGCGGTCGGAAAGTGCTCGCCCCTCTCCCCGGAAAAGAAAAGGCCCCGACGCAGAGGGCCCGTCCCGGGCGGCCCCGAGGGAGGGGCGAGCCCGCGGCTCCGCACTTGTCCCGCCGCCCCGCCCCGACACCCAGCTTCCCGGCCGACGGCCCTGTCGCGCCCCGCGTCCCGGCTGCGCTGCGGCGCCGGGGCGGCGGGGGCGGCGGGCTCGGCGTCTTCACCTTTCTTCCTCTTCCCCCGGCAGCCGAGGCCGCGGCGTTCTTACTCCGCCTCCCGCCTCCCGCCTCCCTGAGTCACCGGCGGCAGCCGCCGTTTCCAGCCGCCCAGCCGACTCGAGCTCTGACTTGGTTCAAGAGCTCTCACAAGACACGCACAGCCTCCCGGGTCCGCCCCCTCGGAGCCGCTTCCGCCGCTCATTGGCTGAGGCTAAGGAGCTGGGCGAGGCTCCCGGGGAAACGGCCCGTCGCCATTGGCCGGCACCGCGGGGGCGGGGCAAGAGAAAAAAACAATTCTGGGCTGCCTCCTCCCTCTCCCCTCCCCCTTCCGACTCCCGGACGACCCCCATTAGGTTAAAGTACACAGCGCGTAAGAGAGAGATCCCTCCGCCACGGGCCATTCTTCCCATTTGTTGCCCCACGGTAAGCAAAGAAGTCCCGCGCAATCAGTTCTCAACTTTAGAACCCAGAGGGAAATCGCAGCGGTGCACAGTCAAGACTGTACAGCGAGCCTCCGGTCTGTTAGTGCTTATTGGCTCGCGCTTCGAGCGCGTAGGCTGTCGACCGAAGGTGGGCCTTTTACTTGGCGGAAGAATCTCACAGGAAAGGGATGAGGGCGGTGCCAGAGCCGGCGGGGGAGGGAAGGGACGGGAACGTGCGGTTTCAGGCGTACTCAGCCAGAGGGAGGAGCCACAGTGCTCTGGCGGCGTGTGCGCAGGCGCCTGGGGAGGGGGGTTGCTGCCGCTGGGGCTGCTGGGTGAAATGGCCGCGGGAGGCGCAGGCGCACGTGGTGCAAATCATGGCAGGCTTGAAGGCCGCCATTTTGGAGGAAACATGAAGAAAGGCGTGGAGGCTCAGGGAAACGAGGGTCGTTCAATCAGGAGCCCCAAAGTCCGTTCAGTACGACGTGGAGTGGGATTTTTTCACGTGGAAGAGGGATGAGAAGCTCGTTGAGACAAGGAAATTGAAGACCAGAGGAAGTTCAAGATGATGCAAGAGCTATGGAATGGGAGGTGACTTTGAAGGACAAAGGAGGGAAGAGGAGATTGGGTTGGGGACCTCACGTTTCTTGGTTGGTTGGATGGAAAAGAAATGGAATGAAGAGATTGAAGACCTCATTTATAAAGGCTGGTGCTTGGAATGGCATCGCATGTAGTGAGACTGATCCCAACTCTTAATTTTCTAAGTGTGAAAATAACAAAGAAACTGTTCGAAGGATTATAGATTCAGGTGAATGGCAAATTTTTATTTTTAAGCACAAATGCTTTGAGTAAGTGACATTAAAGTGACTATTAAAAGTAAATTTTGAATTATACACAAATAAGTATAATTGGTCTCAAAAAATAGAGAAGATGGGAAAGTGTGGGAGCATGCAGAAAAGAAAAAATCGAACCCTATCCAGTCCAACAAATTTCAGAAATGAAACAAAAAATAAAAGGAAACCACGTAATTATGGCATACAAAAGAGCAAAAGTCTAAGACATCAGTATTTACAATAGATGTGACTGGGTTAATTTTACTTATAACTTAAAAAACGATCAATAAAATGTCATAAATGAACACCAGCAAAATACAGCAGAGGAAGTCTGAAAAACATCAGATAAAAGGATTTATTAATCAACTGGCAACTGAAGTTAAAAAAAATAGCAATATTAATTGAAAGCAAAAAGGATTTTTAACATATACAAGGTATGTTCGAAAACAGCAACATATATTCCAACTAGTATGGTACTGGAAATATATGCCCAACCTCAACTAAGACTATGAAGTATAGAATTATAAGAAAAAGTTTACAGCTTGTAATCAGAATATGTAAACACATTTGTTACAAAAATAAACAATTTGAAATTTGGGTAAACTTGTCCCAAGCTTGGGAGTACATAATTTTTTTATATTCATGAGTCCATGACTTAAAGAAATAAGTCCATGGGAGTAAATATCTATTTTATAAGAATTGCAAAACCTGTTACCAAATCTGAAACACTATACAAGAAAGAAAAACTGTAGTTCAATCACACGTAATGATGGACAATCCTTATTATTAGCAAATTAAGCCAAATTTTATTTTTTAATGATTAATTAAATTTAAATACAAAGATACGGCAAAACTAGAAAATTACTTTAATTCAATATGAATCTAAAATGGCCACCAAGAATCCAAGTTCTTTACTTGATTATGGAGGGTTTTCCCCTTCATGCAACATTGGTGAAAAATCTAGAAATATTACACAAAGGTGGAATAACATTGATTTTATGCATAAGAAAATTACATGTTCATTTTAATAGAGGCTATAAAAGAGCATACATTGAATAGTTAGAAAATTAGGACATCAAGAGCACATATATTAAATACTTAGTCATGAATTTTAAAACTAGAAACAAATTACTAAAAATTTACAATAGAATATACCCATACATATGTACTAGAAAATATCAATAGAGTTGTCCAACATTGTGAGTGGTTGTAAAAAGTTATAAATAAACTCATGTGGGGGATGAATAAATGAAAAACAGAATGTGGTATATGTAATGAAAAACATCAAAGTGTTTGAATTTAAAATTTTTTTTTATTTTATAAAGTAAGGTAAAGGTAAGGTAAAGGCCCTCCCGTTGATCGTCGATTTGCTCGAGCGGGCCCAGTAACGTCTCCATTGGAGACTTTGTTGTTACTGTGTCTGGCATATCGAATACTCTCGGTAGCTTGCCGGGCTCTCCGAGAGGGGCGGAGGAATCAAACTCGGGTCGGCCATGTTGGCCGCTTGTAAGGCGAATGCCCTACCCGCTGTGCTATTGCTCCAGTAGTTCACAATATTTGATTAATATTGTTTAGTAAAACAATTTTTTAAAAAAGGATTTGTAGTAATATTTTAAAGCACCTATAAAACAACACAAAATACACGTTCTATGTATCTATATATCAAAACACTAGGACCAAAGAAACAGTAAGGTGGTTATAGCTCATGTCAATAATGTGGCCAACCCCAGTTCTATCCCTAGCACCACATATGGATTCCTTGATACAAGCAGATCCAGGAGTAAGCCCTAAGCATCATTAGATATGTTCCAAAACCAAAACTAAATACTCACAATAATGGTTACTGTATTAGGGGTGCACAGTAAAATTTTTGGTCAAAAATCATCTAGCATTTGGATTCATAAAGTGATTGCATACATACATATTACTTTTGAAAGTCTAAGTTAATTTTTAAATCTTATAAGTGGGATTGGCTACATTAACAAAGCATTCATTATAAATTATAACCAGTACAGATTAAAGAGGGCTAGAGCAATACACAGTGGGTAGACCGTTTTGCCTTGCACGTGACCAACCCGGGTTCGATTCCTCCCTCCCTCTCGGAGAGCCTGGCAAGCTACTGAGAGTATCCCGCCCACACGGCAGAGCCTGGCAAGCTACCCGTGGTGTATTCGATATGCCAAAAACAGTAACAAGTCTCACAATGGAGACGTTACTGGTGCCTACTCGAACAAATCGATGAACAACGGGACTACAGTGCTCCAGATTAAAGAAGGATGCAATGTAAGATCAACAAAATACCTGAGAAGTTTATTCCTTAACAGGCATCAGCTAGAGTATACAAAGGGATATTCAAAAGAATATACAAAAGAATATACAAAGAAATTTTATACAAAGGAATTACTTATCATTGTGAAAACTGTAGAATACCTAAGAAAGTGCAAAATGTAAAAGAGTGCCTCAAAACCCATATGAAGTAAATATAAGACTTTAGCAATATGCATAAAATTCCAAAATCTTTTATTTCTGTGATTTAGTAAGTGTCATTTTCTTTCAGATTCCTTGAAAATTTCCTTTAAATTTTCCTTGAAAAATAAAAATAGAAATATATAATTAAGGAATTATGAAAACATTCATGTCTGTAAAAATAGTTTTTATTAACAATTTCAAAGTGTTTTTTACTAACAGTCTTTGAGCTCAATTGGTTATTCATTGGGCAAAAAAATTATGGCAGCTCACATCAAAGTTCATAAAATAAGTTTCAGTTGTATAAGAGTTAAATATGAAAAAATCTAGCTAGACATTTTAAAGTTTGATCTTCTTTACTTTTCTCTTTCTCGTCCTCATCCAAGATCTAGTATATACTTCATAGTCCAAATCCTGCAGAGTTGCCTGAGGGACAACAATGGTTTTCTAGAGCCTTAAAGGAAATTAACAACCATAAATATGGAAACCGTTTGCACCTTGATTCCTCAACTGAAAAACAATTGGAGTTTTGAATGGAGTATTTCTGTCTAAATATATTTCTCTTAAATGGCACAAAAATGTTTCATGTGAAAATTTAATTGCCTTATGTTATTTCTGTTAATTCAGTACACTTATGACAAGCAGCACATCCATGTTCCTTGCCTCTTTTTATTTTTTTTAATTTTTTTTTGAGTTTGTGTTTTTTTTTTTAAATTTTTATTAGTGAGACACCGTGAGGTACAGTTGTAGATTTACAAATTTTGTGCTTGGGTTTCAATTATACAATGATCAAATACCCATCCCTCCACCAGTGCCCATTTCCCACCACCACGGATCCCAGTATCCCTCCCACCCCCCATCCCCCCCCATCCCACCCTGCCTCTGTGACAGGCATTCCCCTCTGTTCTCTCTCTCCTTTTGGGTGTTGTGGTTTGCAAAAGAGACATTGAGTGGCAATCATGTTTGGTCTATAGTCTACTTTGAGCACGCTTCTCCTATCCTGGGAGGATCTTCCCAACACCCTTTATTTGGTGCTCCCTTCTCTATCTGAGCTGCCTTTTCCCCTAGCATATGTGGCTGGCCTCCAAGCCATGGAGCAAAATTCCTGGTACTAATCTTGGCCATTCTTGGGTGTTAGTTTCCTATTTTGTTACTTTATGTTACCCAGACATATGCAGTCTTTCTATGTCTATCCCTCTCTTTCTGACTCATTTCGCTTAACATGATACTTCCCATGTAGTACCACTTGTATGTAAATTTCATGACTTCATCTTTTTCTAACAGCTACATAGTACTCCATTGTGTAAAAGTACCAAAGTTTCTTTAACCAGTCATCTTTTCTCGGGTACTCAGGTTTTTTTCAGATTCTGGCTATTGTAAAGAGTGCTCCTTGCCTCTTTTTAAAGCATGTT